TGAATTCAAACAATTGCTGATAGGGTACATGCAAAAACATCATATTATAGCGGAGGTCCTAGCTTATAATCATAATTCTGGGATGACTGTTGAGCGATTAGGGTTTTTCATTGTACCAAGTTTACTCAAGATTTCAGCCGATGATGACAATATGAGGTTATTTTTGGAAGGAAAACCCTTGTCAACTGTTTCTTTGTGCTACGAGTTTGAAAATGAAACGATGGTGCCCTTCACTTTTCAGACGTGTTTGGCCCGTATAATTGGACGGTGGCCACTGGTCAAGTTCAATGGCAACCCTGTTTTATATGATAATGTAGCTGCATGTGAAATAGAACGAGGACATGCTGGTGTACTGATGCTGTCGAAAAACAAACTCGAGCTTCTTGTTGTTAGTCTCTGTCCTCCAGACAATGTTTAGGCTGCTGTCTGTGATATGTTTCGGAGATACGTAGAGACGGTTATTATCAAACGGATGCATAAATTGCATGACAATAAACATGAGGGGCATTTTATCAGTCATATTTCTGCAAGATGTTTACACCAAGATCATGGGAGCAAGGGAAGTTATGAAACATTTGCTATTGACAATATACAATCATGTAGTGATGAGAAAGTACCATGTCCGGATAGAGCGAGTCACTGCCTTCAGACACACACTATTGTGAAGGAATGGTTAAAGCCAGATTTAAAAGTTGATACTGTTCCGAAGAGAAAATTATCAAATAAAGAGTATAGCACTTTGGCAATGGCAATTGGGAAAGGTTGGGAGCTTCTCGGGTTGCAACTTGGTCTTGATAAAATAATTTTAGATCACATTTGTATGAATAAAGATACTGCTGCAATGCGCATATATGAAATGTTTTTGAAATGGGAAAAGAAAGAAGGGGATCAAGCTACACTAGACGTTATTGTACAAGCAATAGAAGACTGCGACACGGATAATTTACATGTTAATTGGGATGTTTTAAGGAATATTATCAACAGGTTCTGAACTTATTGATACGTTAACTGGTGTGTGCCAAAGACTAGAAAACAGCACATAAAGGCCGCCAACCAAAATAAAACAAGAAATATAAGTTAATAGCATCAACATTGTGCTGATTTTAAAAAGTGATAACATACAATGTAATAAATTGAAAAAAATATTTGAATGAATTTGTCAATATGATTGATTAGATATAAATTACTCTTAAAAAGTATATTAAATATACGTTTTGATGTGCTTCAAAAGTGATTAGTTTCTTTCCTTGTTTATTTAATTGACATGTACATGCTTTGTAATAAGTCACTAAAATTTTACACAAAAAAATGAAAATAAACGAATTCATACATGTTTGTTATTGTTATTTTTACGTTATACCGACTAAGTCTTGTGCCTAACAATACAGTTATAATTTCGTTTGAGATGAATGCTTATACTGTCTATTGACATACTGTTCTTTTATTATTTTCATCTTTAACTATAGGATACACCATGTTTCGGTCAAGATAATTTTAATTTCAGGTCACGTTACTGACCTTTCATATTTACTTGTGGAAGTAGACATAAAAGACCTCTTTTAAATTAGTGATTTCGTGCTTTAGATCGGAAATGAACAAGAACACAAGCAGATGTGTTTTTGATTTGTTTTTACACCAAGGTTAACAGTTTATTTGGTGAAATATCGGTGGTCGTTCCATCAAATCGGCTTCCTAGATAACTAACCGGAAATTACCAATGTATTCTCGAGTGACTGACTACTAAATGAAATCCTAAATGATTTCTCGATCAACGGTGAGAGGAGAGAATTGTGTTGGACTTGTGGCCTGTCATCTGACTGTGGAGAAATCGGCTATTAAAGGTTGGATATTCAGAATGGCCGGTAGACTACCAAATTACCATTTTTATATTGGTTTCTTCCTTAATTGGGACACAATATTTTATTAAAAGGACAAGCAGCTCATAATGTATATAAGTGGTCTTATTGTGGAGTCAAATCGACCATCAACTGTTTGATAGGGTCAGTGTTCCAATTATATATACTGATATTATTAAAATTTCCTTTTTTTTTCATTATAACATGACGTAAATGTTTTTTTTTACATAGAATAAACTTAAAGAATAAATCCGTTTGAAAATAAAACAGATTGGGAGATACATGCTCTTTGTTGTGCGAAACGAAAGCACGGCGCTAGTCCTCTTTCGATAATACAATACATATTAACGTAAGGTTACTGTGAGCTGTATGCTACTTAAGCACTACGTTTCATAAAAATTTCTTTTACAAAACTTTGCTGTTAATATTTGTCTTGCTACATGTAAATATAAAGAAAACAGAAGATGTTGGATAAATGAATTTTCAATACCAAATGTATAGAGTAAAAATACCAACGGAAACATAATTATCATCTTGTATGAAATTATGAATAGATATTATGAATAGATAGGACAAAGAACTGCATGTTCGTTCGGTATATGCAATTGTCTATTATAACCTGAAGGTTGTAGAGGCCTTAGAGGCCGTTGAATAGAAGGAAATATCGAGAAAAATACATAAGAAAGATGTAGGGATGTCATCCTCGCAAATACTTGAATATTGCTTCATTATTTTTGTCAAATAAATGTCATCGTTGACTTTAAAATACGTGCCCTCACCGCAAGAAATTTAAACTCTCAGTTGACACTTCTGTTTTGTCATTATGTCATATGATTTTAATATTCTAACTTGAAATTCTAAAAGGTTGTCGCAGGTAACGACGATTTTGTTGCATTGAAGAACAAATATTTTTTCGCAGCGAAAACATGTCTCTTGCAGAACCATCTACCTGTAAAAAGACACTTATGCATTGCTCAGTGCATTCTTCATTCCAACAAAATCGTGACTTGCAACAACAATTCCTTAATTCCAGTGTGCATAAGTAATGCAGACAATTGAAAAAAAGAGCAAGAAAATATAACAAAGTAGGTATAAAAGCCTTTTAAGAACTTTAATTATGTCTTGGCGTCGGGAAACGACTGGTATAGAAAGGACAAATGAAACGTGACATTTTAATTACCCTAGACTTTTCGAGTTATTTACCGTTCATGCAAAGAAAAAAATTAAAACTGACAGAAATGACGGCAAAATAAAAAACTTGATTATTGACTTTCATCTGTTCACTAACTTTATACCTACGGATAGGCTTAATACATTTTAACAACTACAATACGAAATGTGCACATTTATCCTGGAATTGGATTTGATTTCATACCATATGTTCTGTATTGATTATTCAAGTGACTTGTATGTCCGGAAGAGTGTTTTCGACTTACACATCTTTATTTAAACAAGAGGACCATGATATCTCTTATATCGTTCACCTGATTAAAATGTTGCTTATTAATAATTAAAAGCAGATAAAATGTCATAATCTTAAACTGATATCATAATGTTCATATCTGCACCTGAAATATTGCAAATCTAAACAAGGTTTTTTCCATACATGGTCTCGAATTTGACAACGAAATCATTCAAACAACCTTGTTGACAAATTATCAGGTGATGTGTTTAAATATTTACATTAACAGCGTTAAAAATTGCTTTCCTTAATTTGACTGTGTTGTCTAATGTTTCATCAAAAAAATATCTGACCAGTTTAACGGATATTTGGACTAAAACGCAACAATGTTTTTCAATATTAGATCTATGTGATTTACGTGATCTAGATTTTAACCCCAGATGACCCATAATCAAAACAACCTGTCCAGTTAATGTTGACCAGAACATTAGCTATTTGACTGTTACCAAGTTTTTTTCTATCTATATTTTGGCTGCGTGGACTAGTTTTTAACACTAGATCACCACTATTCGATCTTGAGCTAGAGTTCATTTATTATAAACAGTCTTTCCGACTATTTTGCTTTAAATCTAGGCCGAAACATTTGCTGCTAGTATTCATAATAAACAAAACGTCATATCTAAATGTTGACGGACGACAAAAGATGGACATTCAACGATCCTCAAAGCTCACTCTGATCAAGCTCTGTTGAGCTTCAATACATACCAAAATAGCGGCTTTGTTTCTTGAGATAAAGTTTAACAAAGTAACGAAATCAAACTAGCGTCAAATTTATTTTTCTCAAATATGAAAATGTAGTAAAATGATAGTAAATGGCAACAATTATGATGAACATACACATATAAAAGTATTTCTGTCAGAAAAAAAAAAGATCTGAACATTTGGTTTCTTTTTAAACACATAAGAAATGCAACAGAGTGCAGACTAACTTGGCAGTCTCATTCGGTCAACGGTCATTAAAGGTTTTTTTTTCTTTTTTTTCCGGTGCCGTGTATATAAGTGAATACACCGGGTAATACAGTTATTTAAGCAACATCTGTTGAACTGAACATGCTTTCAAACTAAATTTGATTCGAAAAATGTAATACAATATCGTTTAAGGCGTCGAGAGGGACAACGTACAGTTATCTTTATTGGTATATATACTATTAAAACACAATACACAGAAAAGCCAACTGAAATAAGACCTTGATATAACCATCCGGCGAAAATCAGCATTTCATTTGACTTTTATATTTAAATAATCATTATAAATTATTTTACAAATTTCTTAGCGACTGATTTCTTTCATTTCCAGTGAATACCTTGTCAGAATATGAGAATCATGATCAGCAATGAAGGGCGGCATTCAATAAACGCAGCCGAACAACACAGATCCACTAACAACGTTAAGCATCTCTCCAAACAAAAACAGATCGCGCACAAGGGCGAAGCGAATTAAAAAGTGTAAATGTACCATGGAGGATTGTGGGGAAAAGGTACATTGCTATGTACCGGGCTTTGTTATGCAATTTCAATTTTTTTTTAATTTCATTGGTGTGACATTTACATCTAGAAATGTGTGCAAAGGACACGGGTGCCCCCACACACCACTGTTCTGTCAATCTTATGACTCTAAGTCAAATATGTTATGGACTTCATGTGCCACAAGTTGAAAACTAAAAATCTTTTACTAAGTATACGGCAATAACTTTACAAATACTAATTTACAAATACTGAATAAATCCACAAACAAACCCCAAGGTGCATAAGTACACATGCTGACCAACATTCTTGTAATCTTTCAGGCCTATGCATTTTCCGTTATGCATGAACAAGTAGAAAATTGCAAATTTATACAACTGTAAGTCAAGGGCAAAAACTGAAGAAATCCACATGCGAGTCCCAGGTACATAGCTTCAAAGTGATGTTGATAATTATTCCTGTAATTTAGTGATGTTGATCATTATTCCTGTAAAGTTGGTTGATTCTAACTAAAGCACTCAATGAACAAATAACACACCATAATGAAACGGTTTTAACTAAGTCAAGGGCAATTACTTTACAAATACTGGATTAATTCACAAGCGAAACCCAGGATGCACAATTACATATGCTGAGCAACATTCCCGTAAGGTTTCATGACTATATGTAAAATCCTTTTTGAGTTACATGCGACACAAATTGAAAATTGCAAAATTGTACTAAGTCAAGGGCAATAACTATAAAAATTCTACATAATTTCACACGAAAATATCTATGTACACAACTACACATGCTGATCAACACTCCTGTAAAGTGTCATGACTCTAGGTCAAATCCTTTTCGAGTTACATGCGACAAGAGTTGAAAATTCAACAAGTCAAGGGCAATTACTCTAAAACTAATAAATAAATCCCAACGAAAATACAAAGGTGCACAACTACACATGCTAATCAACATTTCCGTTAAGTTTCATGACTCTATGTCAAATACTTATTGAGTTACGTGCGACACAAAAGAGAACGGAAGAACGGACGGACGAACGGACAAGGGTAAATCTACCCCCCCCTCCCCCCAAGAGGGGGCACAAAAAATCGGATTGACTTTTATGACAAATAACCTAATGCTCAGCACAATTTACGAGTGATAATATTTTTTTTTACAACAGCCAATGAGGCCGAGACGATTCTGGTTACAAACTCTAGTAAACCGTTCTTCAAACATTTTTCTAATTTTAAAAGCTTAAAATTATTGAGGTCCCAATAATAGGTAAGGTAAGCAAATGAAGTATACATTCTTGCCAGTTTAATTAAAATAAACCAAAAACGCAATTAGTCTTATGCATACTTACATTATTAAACGGAACACAAATGAACAATAAAAGTGAAAGAGTAACTATAGAATATGTTCAAGATATCCGATAAAAATACAACTCATGGGGTAAAAAGCAATGATTGAAATACATTTTTATATAACTGTTCAATCGTCATATCAAGAAACAATTATTGAAAAAATCATCAACACAAATAATTTTTTCGTAACGCATTTACAAACTAAAAGGTAAAACAATGGCGCACTTATGAAGAAAAACAATACAATATAGAGTAAAAGATATTTTTGGAAATAGTAAATTGTGTGACGATTGGCAATCAGTGAACTGTATATTCCATTGAAAACATAACGTAAAACTTTGATTTTTAAGTTTGAATTGTATGCAATATAAGATAAAAGCCGGCAAAAGTGCAACAAAAATAAAATAAAAAAGATAAAAAAAATAAATGCGAAGACAATTTTCATTGTAAAAGTAACACATTTCATTATTAAAGGCTTGTCGTATAAAACGTTAAAAAAGGAGAAACAACGTGAATAAAATGTGCAAACTATAGAATAAACAGCATCGTCTAATTGTAGACACACATTAGATTAATTTAGGGGTAATCTTCTGTCGACTTCTGTGCGAACTTGTTGATCAGGTTTCAAGTTTTGTTTAGTCTAAATCCTCAATTTTCCTCACTTCCTACTCTATAAACACTCTTAGTAGGGTACCAAACAGATATGACATACATGTATGTTCAAATTAAATGTTTTCCTCATAGAATAGTTAAATCTGAAGAATGTTTACTTCAAAGCTACTCAAAGAGGTAGCTTAACTGTCCGGAGATGAGGATCAAATAAACTACCAAGTTAACTGAAACGCGTTGTTCACTTCCACCACTGAAGTATGTAACAACAGATCGCCTTTTCCTGGCAATGGGCTCATCTGCAGGGTTAAAATTAGAGCAATCATCAGACGGGTTCATTTCATAGAATAAATGGCACAAATGTTTGTCTCCACCACAGCATTTGTAGAAATATTGTAAAGTCTTGTAGTCGTCCTTTTCAAAGGTAGCAAAACCGCCTCCTACGTTACCTTTCATTAAAGCCCCATAACTAAAAATATATATGAAACATAGACGTATTTTGATCAAATTGAAAATTCTGCACGAGACACCTTACATTTAACTTAGAAAGATAATCAAGTGGAAAATTTTGTCAAATCCTAATGAGACAAATGCATATGATACAAATGTTATAATCAAATCCAAATGTTAAATATGGTATCAAAATCTGAATAAGAAAATTGTGGTTCCACATGTTACCGATTGAAATTCAAAAGAAATAAACATTTTTTTTATCCATAAATTACGATTTTATAATCTTAATGGGACAATTGTAAATCTAGATGTGCCATATATTATTCGAAAATGAAAATTCTAAATTCAGGTGTTATAACTAAATTTAACTTTAGAATTCTAAATCCTACCGGTATCTCTTCGAGAACAGCAACTGAACAGAAGCGAATGAGACAGTTAAAAGCATAAAAATCAATTTCATTTTATACAAATAAGACAAATAAAGCTAAGACAACCCATACTGAATCTCAGACAATTAGATAAAAATTGAAACGACTTAAGATCAACTGAGACATTTAGAAAAAAAATATTTTGCTGGCGAAAATAAGTAACAAAACCATAGATTTTGTCGCATGTTGAAGAAGAAATAAACCGTATAAGATGCTAAATCATTTGACCTTGACTCAACATTTGTGTCTATCTAATGTGTAGAACAATTGAGCACAAACTACTGAGGTGACCTTTTTATGATTGTAGTGTTTTTGGTGTCTGTCGTTTTCCATACTTGATTTAAAGGAAGCACAAGCCAAAAGTTTATGAATTTTCAAATTTATAGGTCAAAGACCATATCATAAAAATAGATTTCTTTGTCAAAATCATAGTCCTCCTGATATCAGAGATAAATTGCGCATAAAAAATGTGCTAGTGGTCATAGCTGTATAATAAACCAATATGATGGAATAATTCAGAATTTGAAAGTTTGTGAAAGGTAACTTGATCAAAATCAAGATTAGCCATTATTCAATATTTCACCTGAACCTGTACAAATGTTCAAATTTTCTTTGTGTTACATATTAAATAACACAACTGTCACCAAGTCCCCTGACAAACCGGGTCATGATTTTTCAAACATTGTTGTGGTCGACGTTACAATGCTTTACACAAAAATATCTAAGGCCACGTTCTTCAAATATTATTATCATTTAATATTATTTCGGGCTTGCGAAAAACAAAGTTTACAAAGTCAACTCGATGAATACAAACATTGAGAATAGCATGTGATTATCCTTATTTACCTGTAGCAACAGGTCTGCTTCACTCCATCATTGTTAAAGAACCACGCCTCATAACATGTCGTAGGTAGTGAGTTCTTGTACAACGGGTTAACAGTACGGTAACTGTAGTCAAGGTCCATCTGCTGCTGAGTGCAGGGACATGCATAGGCCAATTTCCTGTTCTCCGTTATCCAATTTCGGATAGTAGAATTGTGTCTAAATTGAATACATTCGCTTTCGTTCCGCAATAACTGGTTCGTTTTGTTATCATTGCTACTGACGTTAAATATCCATCTTCCTGCTAAGGCTGTCGCAAGTGAATTAAAAAGATTAAAACTTATATTGTGCTGCAGGTTTGTATAAAATTAATAGTACAACAAGAATTAATGCATACTTCCAGTGTCTAAATATGTATCTAGCGTTCAATGTCTGACAATAATTTGTAACTTGTATAAAGCTTTACTCATCAATAGGACCTACGTTGATAGCTGGTTGGTATCCATGATTTAGACTGATCTGATCTGGGTTCGAATTTCAACAGGATGCTTATATATTATGTAGTACGATTTTGAAGACTTATAGATTTTGTATTCGACCAAGAGTCACGGCCATTATAATTCTAATTTGTTTACAATATGTGCTCTTATTGTATCGATTTTACTCAAAACAACGCCAATATAAACAAATATTTATATCTTTACCAAATTATCAAGATTATTATTTCTAACCGCATATATCAGAATACAAATGCAACTAAGGGAAAGTCGGTCAATCGCATAAAAAGCAGTATGCCTCAGATTTGTCTTTTGTTCAGATATTTGAGGTTGTTAATTCAGTGATAACTCAAAGACGTTTCCACAAGGTTTTTCTTTCTTTCTGTTTATCAGTTTTTTATCTTTACTTACGTAAAGCAAATAATGGATAATTGTTTAAACATGTAAATAGAAATTTCGTAAAACTTTGAACGATACAAGAAAATTGAAATTGAATAGAAAATATTAAAGAAATGAAACAGTTTGGGCATAAATGCTGTTTTTCTTTAGTTATCTGCACCTGGAATCGGAACTGATGTTTTGTTTCAGGAAAGTTTTCATGAGCAGATCACTCAAAACCGCAGAAATCACCACATTATTTGATTTTCTTGATCAAGGTTCGGAATATGCTGAAATTGTATGCATAATTCAAAAAGAAAAAAATATGTTCACTTGTGCAAATGTTCCTTGTTTGCCTTGTAAAAATGACGTAAGTAAGTAAGTAATGTCAGTTAATAATTTTATTCTTGTAACATAGGTGTATGGACCAAAAAGAATAGGAAACGCCTTAAAATATCCACAAATAATAACCCATTTTTTTCAAAATAAACAGGCATTTTAAAACTGTTGGGATGAAAATTAAAAGGTTTATCAATTTGTGATTTTTTTTTAAATTTTACCTATACTGTTAATATTTATATATTTCATTGACTATACATAAAGTTCTCTCGAGTCAGATTAGTTTAGGATTTATTTTATCTATCTTAATAGTGTTTGTGATAATAAGTATAGTTATAATAAAATATTTTCCCATGATCTGTTTTATTATTCTTGTATACTAGTTGTATACATGTATAAAAATATTCATACTCACCTGGATGAACATTAGATTCACTATTTAGCATTGACATGTTATTACTAGTCCCAGAAATAAACCCTGTCTTGTCAGGTAGACTATATCCAGCAGAGCTTGGAATGTTGTCGTCCAACTTTAACGACCACAACTCGTGGTCGTAATTAAACATAACATAGGAATAAATTCCGTCAGATATTAGAATAGCCTGCATCGTTGCGTTCTAAAATATGTAAGTTAATTGAATTTAATATTATCCGTCTCACTTATAAAACAAATAGTACTATGACGAATCGGGCCTGTGTTGATTTATGCATTTTGTCTTTTTACGACAGAGGTGAAAATTAAAATACTAAGATATATAGATCTCTGGTCGGACTGAAATGACCTGTACACTGACTAGGCTTGATGACATTACATGCAATTACAGAAACATCTATGCAATTTGTTATAAAAACCTACCTAAAGAATAATGGAAAAGTAAATTAAACTTATTGGTGCACGGCTGTTATATCCATATATTTTCTGTATCAAAACAGCCATAATCATAAATTATTTATTAAAATCACGCTTAATCATAATAAGTTTATTCAAAATAATATCAGTTCAGCTGGAAGCTATAAGCATATTGAAACACTCACGAATATGTTCCTGGAATCAACCAGTACTAAGCAATTAATGCAATGTTTCTTTCTCAATGAAACAACGGCTTGTTCCCGACTGGGTTTGAAACCACGCGGTTAGCAATCCTTAGATTACTAGTTAACCACTCGGCTACACCACCACTATATTTATAAGTATAATACTTTTTAGATGTTCAATAGACAAGGCAAGCTTACTTTGAAAATACAATGACATTTTACTACTTTATCGGTTTTTCATACCTGTGTTCTGATAAGCCTGGCTGGAATAATGTAGGAATGTTGTGTGACGTTGCGCCAGGTAACTACAATGGCAATACGTGGCTTAAAGTCTGTTAAGTTAAGGTAGTTAGTAAACTTTTGTCCAAGATCAGCTAGGTCTTTATGCAAGGTATCGTTTTGGCCATAATTGGTATAATACTGTAGCAGGTGAACTTCAACTCCTCCTGTAAGATCAGTAGAATCAAGGTCCGTCCAAAACGGAGCGATTACAGTTTGTCCATTGCTGAATCTTTTCCAGTCGTTTGGATTCTCGGCTCCATAGTTTTCATACAAAGGCTGGTATCCGAGAGTGAGAAAGCCATTCATGTTGGGCTATCGAGTAGAAATGGGAACAAAATATGACTATCACATCCTCATTGACTCCACGTTGAAAAGCAACATTATTTTTGTATTCTCTACCCAAGGGATGCGTTTCATAGAAAGTCCTAGTCTATCTAGTCTATCCTAAGTGCTATTACTAATGACAAACTATTCGACTAACTTATGACCGTTTCTGTAGTCAAAAGTTTAGACTTTTATTATATAAATTTTTCTGCTAAGAAAAGTTACAAAATACAAATCGAGATTTGTCAATGAACATCTGTATCGAAATTCCGAAAAGACGAAAACTATCTAGTTAGTAAGATAGTTAACGCGATCATTACATTGTTAACTGTTGGCAGTAATATACCACCATTAATTATAAATGATTTATTCCAAATCTTCGCAAGCTATAGATTTTTAATACGCTGATAAGCCGTTTGAAGTTGAGAACAAAAGAGCTAACAGGCGTTTTGCTCATAGATTTAATTATTTTTACTTTCAAAAATAAGCCATTCAAAATCATAACGGTGAAGGGCACGAAGTCGCCACACTCACTCACGAAGTAAACATGAGATATGCATTGTACATAATCAACACAAACAATTGTGAGCTCATTACTTTAACAAATTCTGCAATGTAAAATCATATAAAAAGAAAAGTGCAAATTACCCGAAATGAGTTGTAGTTTGTACCGAAATATGGAAATCTATAATGTATAGACTCTGCTCCTATCAGCTGATTATCTCCTCTGTGTATTGCCACCGGTGTTAAAAGATCTATGATCACTTTTTCTGAAGTATAATTATAAAAAGATCAGTCATTTATCAGGCACTCATTTGTTAAATAATGTGTTTTGAACATTCCAGAGCGCATGTACAGTTGGTGTTCCAATTCTTGATAAACTAGCATACATTAAAGGCCGGTGCCAATTTCGTTAAAATACTGCTAAGTTTGTTGTTTTTATTGTTGTTGTTGTTTGGTTGTTTATATTGTTGTTGAGGTCAAAACTGACCAACCAGAGCCTGACATTTAATACATGTACAGGGACCCAAATGCGATAAACCATTATTTCCGTAGAAAATTATCATAATGTATATATAAAATGAGCTATTGAAATGTTGGAAATTAATTATGGTTTGATGAGGTTTGGAAAAGTGAAGTATTCTTAAAGTGGATTGGTCTACAATTGTCATATTTTCCATAAGTATTTCAAATATGGATGGAAATGATAGAAATGAAATATATGAATATTCTGATAAAAAATTGCTTGGAAAAATGCTTATTACTTTCTAAATGATCCAGCATAAACATTTAAATATGATAAACAATAATATAATGTGCTATATGAATATATGTATTATCAGATCATGTATAACAACATTCATAGATAATTCTTTCGTGGTTTGTTTGTCTGATACTAAATACTATCAACATAATTATTTCTTGTATTTATACAGACCTTTCATTAAAGACTTATTCGCTTAAATAGCGTTATACCATACATAATACTATTAATAATATATCAAACAACTAATGTAAATTGATTCAAAAATCTTAAGCACATGCCGAAATGATGCATTCAACCATCTGAGGAACATTTAGGTAAACTCTACAACAAAATAATAGTAATGTTGATTTCATATTGTAACAATGCATATGTATATATACAGCCTTCTTGTTTATATATTCTATTTAAGAGACTATTGTAATATTGAATTAATATAACTTAAATAAGATATTGATTCTCTATCAATGTTTTTCATTTGAATTTCATAATACAAATAAAACATCCATATTTCTAAAAGTCAGGGACGTAGGTGGGTTTGAGTTATAGTGTAGTTGACTCCGGAGCATTCATCGCCTAGAACCTGTTTGTGTTGCTCTATATTGCTATAATTGTGTTTTAGCGTAAATTTAGATAGAAACGATATTAAAGTTTGTCTTTTGAAATTTCAGGGAGACAATTACAATTATGTTAGACATTTTTTTCCTGAAAAATTAGCAATAGGTCATGGCCTATTGGAAGTTTCGCCGCTGAAAATATTAAAGACATGGTGGCTGATTTGTGTCATTCGTGTTTTCGCTCAGCTTTTAGTTTTGCTCAGTTTTAATAAATAAAACTTCGCACCGCGGCGTCGCGCAGTGAAATTTAAGAAACAAGTTTTATATCTTAAACTTTGTTCCGCGCCCCCGCTTATTATCGTGTTTTCGCTCCGCACCCACGCTGTTTCATTTCTTAAATTTCGCTGCGCGACCCTTCGCGCGAAGTTTTAATTATTAAACTTCGTCCCGTGCCCTCGCTAATAACGACTTTTCGCTCCACGCCCCCGGTTTTTGAACTTGTTAATTCTCGACTTTTCGCCGGGAAAAAACACACTGGCACAAATCAGCCACCATGTAAAGATACTGCATTATTGTTCGAGTTCATTTGTTATAGTATTATTGAGTCAATGTTTTTATATTACGTGAAATTTAAATGGTTTTGAACTAATATAGATATACATATAAATACTAGTATCATTATATAAGTAGAACAGAAAATTTTAAAATATGCGGGAGAAATTCGTTGCTTTAATTTGTGATAGCTAAGATTAAATCTTATTTGCCTTGTTTCCTTATGATACATGGAAAGGAAATCTAAGATAAGCCTGCTGCTTTGTGACTTCAAGTTTTTTTTCATTTTACTTTATGTTTTACTTATCTATTTACTTTATTTATGTTTTTCTTGTTTGGCGTTAGATGTTTTAGAAATATAATGTCGTATAGTTGAGATAAATACTGTTTGCACAGGTTAATTAGTAAGACATAATTTTATGTAAATGAATAATGAACACGGTTTTACAATATATTTCTATTTCATAATGTGAACTCTTAGCCTGACATATTATATTACACTATACGAAAACAACATGGACAAATGTAAAAAATGATAGATAATGTATTTGGGAGTCGGCTAGATTATACGAATTTCATGAATACTGGTCGAAAAGGCCTGTCTAGGGAGTTCGAATTTGGTATTTGACCAGAGCAGATATACACTTATGTATGAGTTATAAAATGTGAAACATCTGTGCGTTTCTTAATCATCCACTTCACAACAATAAGATCAAAAATTGGTTGAGATTCTTACATACGATTGTATCTTTTCGTAGTTAAAATAAATACTTGTCTAAGGAAATGATTAAAAGTTATATCTGAGGTAGGACCAATCATTTAACATTAAACAACATATTATGCAAGTACATGTAATAATGAATCGTAAACTTAGTCTTACTGTAACAGTGTACTTTAGGATCTCCTTGCGAATATTCTACGTCGCACGTGCAGTTGTAACTTCCGGGTGAATTTGTACATTTAGCATGCGGACCGCACGTTGTACTATCAGCACATTCATCAGTATCTAAAAAACAACAACAGCAACAACAAACAATAGCAGAAACAGTGACTTATTCATTATCCCTTATGTACAGACTCAATCAAACCGATTCTGCAATTTTCATGTAGTTTTGCTGATTTAAATGATTCCGAGAAATTAATATTTATCAGATATTTATTATAGTATAACCTTGAACAAAAACATGACAAAAACATTTAAGGCCAAACTATGTACATGATAAAGTATGTCTGATGAAAATCAAAGAAAATTATATATTTCGAATCATCTATATTTATTTACCTTCTGTGCAGTTTCCACCTGTCCATCCTTGAAAACACATGCAAATGAAGCCGCCCATATAATTGATGCACCGAGAACCATTCTTGTTACAGAAGTTTGTACTAGAATTGGAACATTCGTCTATATCTGTATAGATATTGTATATCATATGTCAAAACGAATATTATTTGTATATATATTATCTGTATAGATATTGTATATCATATGTCAAAACAAATATTATTTGGGGTCTATAATGGTCTCTGTTTATAAACAATTACGATAAAATTGTTATGTAGCATTTCGTTTTATGAATACATCTACGGACAAATATACGTAGAAAATCAAAGGACTTAAAGCACCGATAAAACGCTTGTTACATACACATCAGAAATTGAAATGGCCACAATAACTATTCATTTTCATTTTAATTTATCGAAATCGTGAATATTCCAGTAACAGTTTTCAACTGTGTTTTCAAATGAACATTTTATGACAAACCAGTCAATGCAATCAATATGCAATCGTTTTTATTTTCACAACTGTTACAATATTACCAAGGTGGTCTCAATTTTCTTTTTAAGATTTGTTTTTGACGTTGCCTAGTTATACATGAATCGGTATTAATATGAATAACAACAGATAAACGTGCTCAATTACGAAAAGTAAACTAGTAATATTACGGTAACCAGAGTTTAAGGAGGCACCAGAAAAACGATCGGGGTAGGGTATACTATATGTTTCAATTGACAATAAATAAAGTATATTAAAATCAGGAAACGTTAGTACATGTATAATTATAAAAGCCAACATTTACTGTTGTGAAAATGACAAATAGTTAAACCTACATTGCTGAAAGTGAAGGTGTTAAGCCTTTTTCAGCAGTAAAGGACACGTCAACTACATGTGCAAGATATAACAACCTTGTACAAGTGTAACCATAAAACTACTATTGGCAGAGTGGTGGATATTAGAACTCTTTATGTGCCTTAATTGTCTGTGTTGTATTTTAAGACGCCCGTTAAAAAAATGTGTAAATCAGCTAACCAGTACTTTGAAGTGAATAAAAAGCGTATTTAAATGTATTCTTTCTTTTCTTTCTTTCTTTACAATTCACCTTAAACTCTTCATTATTTGTATTTAACTTCATTATTAGACAAACTTGTTTTTTATGATTACTTTCTAAATAAGTTGGCTTGGCATGCTGCCAAGAACATGATAAAAAGCAAATTTATGAAACATGCAATTTGTATTGGTAATTAAGAATACAGGATATGCAACCGCCATATAAAATTCATGGTCATTGTTATTTAAGATAATATTCGACATTTGCATTTTGGCTTAAGGAAAAAAAATCTTTACCTTGACATTTTTGTCCCCTCCCATTCGAGAGGTCTCTGAACCCTTTTTGACAATTACAGCTGTAAGATCCTTTGCTATTTGTGCATGAAGCATACAAGTCGCAATCTGTGTGGTATTCGGCACACTCATCTATGTCTTTCGAGGATAACAATAGTACAAATATTAGTGTAAGACTTAAAAAAGATTAGAACACGACACTAAATATCGTATGTCTGTATACACCGGACAAGGCGCTTACATGATTAAATGCAAAAATATTGCCTTTTCACCAAACGGAATGAACTTAAAACGTCCAATTCATCTCTTCACACCGATTTATATACGATAATGGATTTGGTGAAGAAAGCTGTATTTTCAACTTTGTGATCATGATTTCTGCAATCGTCTATAGGTACTGCTCTAACACTGCAGCGGGTTAAATCCCGAATAATAAAGAACCACTATGCGCCATAAATGCTTTAATTGTTATGTTTGAAAATTTTACTTTTCGTGTTCTGATATATTTTCAAAAAAGTAACTTACTCAATGGCAAATTACCTGAAACATCTTTTGCATCCGTTGCCTTTTGGTTTTTAGTACGGTTAACGTAAATACAATAAAAGCAATTCTTTAGATTTTACCCGAGCACATTAGTACATTAATAATTTGATGTTTATCAAAGGGAAGTATTAAATGTAATACGCCAATGGAGGTTATTCAAAAAAAAAGTTGTCCGCCAAACTTTGAAAAAAAGTATTAGTAATAGTTTGAATACATTTCTTATTTAGAACAGACATGATTTGGCGTCTTTATGTTTCAGTGATTATACAAGTTTCATTTCGATGTTTATTTGGACAGAACTACCACTACCAAAAAAATTTCACAAGTTAAAAATAGGGAAATATTTGGCTACAGAAACCAGAACCTTCCTAATGGCTATGGTATCTCACAAGCTTCATCATAACGCTATTTTTTTCAAATTACAAGTACATGTTATAGCACGGTTCCCATAGATAATTTCACTATCGCTTTGGACAGTTTCTTGAATTAATTTGAAAGACGGAAGAGTAAAAATATTTTTCATAAGTAATAAACAATAATCACGTAAAATTATATGTTTGCATGATGTAATGTATAATTGGGCATGCTCAGCTGTGTCTGACAAATCGCTTGATCCAAATATTTACACGTTACTTAATTGTTTCCGCGGTGGTTAAGTATACTATAATAACTTACCATTAAAACATGGCTGCGCTTTATTTTTCCAGATTTAGAGGCCGAAGCATTCGTATCATAAATGCATTAACTAAGTACTTCTGGTTGTCAAACATATATATATACCTTTACATACTGGGGGAGGACTACTCCAGTTACCACTTGCGGTGCACGTGACAAAGTCGACACCTTGTATGCGGTATCCTGTATTGCACGTATATGTAGCATTATCATTATAATTCATTGTGTGGCCCGGTGCAGGATTTATATAACCATTGGTAGGGTTATCAAGCCTGTCACATGCTGAAAAATAAGAAATACGAATATTTGATACATAATCAATCATCATGTATTTCTCAGCCATATACAGATCACATATATTTCTGCTATACTCCATCACTCTGCAAAATGCTGATCACACATCACTCTGCCAATTGCCGATCATACATCACTCTGTTATATGCAAATCACACATCACTCTACAATATACCGATCACACATTACTCTGCAAATGCCGATCATATATCACTCTACAAAATGCCGACCAAACATCACTCTACAATATATCGATCATACATAACTCTGCAATATGCCTATAATACATCACTCTGCTGTATGCCGCACACTACAATATACCGATCATACACCACTAATCTGTAATATGCCAATGATAATCTATCACTCTGATATATGCCGATCACAAAAACTTTATAATATACTGATCATACATCAGGCTGCTATATGTCGGGCATGTTATTCTTCTATATGCCATTCTCATGACACTCTGCAATAGGTCGATAATATATAAAATATCAGTTCGATATACCGATCACATATCACTATTCCATGTGCCGACCATACATCACTCAGACATATGCCAATCACACATACATCTGCTACATGCCGATCCCACAACACTCTATCATATTGTAATCACACATCACCTTGCTTAATGCCGATCGCACACTACTCTATCATATTATGATCACACGTCATTCTGCTACATGCCGAGCACACATCACTCTACCATATTATGATTACACATTATTCTGCTACATGCCGATCCCACAACACTCTATCATATTATAATCACACGTCATTCTGCTAAATGCCGATCATACATCACTCTGACATATGCCAATCACCCATACTTCTGCTACATGCCGATCACACAACACTCTATCGTATTATGATCACACACAATTCTACTACATGCCAATCACATATCACTTTGTCATATACCGATTACAAATCACTGCGCAATATGCCGATCACACATCACTCTGAAATATACCTTCCACATATCTCTCGGCCACATACCATTTGGGCTAAATATATCTCTGCTACCGATTACATATCCCTCTGCTTTACACATATCACATATCCCAGATCACACATGAAACTTAATTATGTTAATAAAGGCGTGGAAAGGCCTCTAAGTTCAACACTCTTCACACTATGATTAGGTTTTTGATAACCACACACTGAATTTATATGACAGGATGTCATAAAATTATTAGAAGGCATTGTTTAAGAAAGAAAATATAATAAGGCCAAGACTATTGCTAATTATGATCATTATATTTCATTTCTATCATAATTCTTTTTAACAACAAAAGTGTCATATTTTCTTCAATAAGAACTCACTTTTTATATTGCACGACGGTCTTTTCGAACTCCAGGTTTTGTTAGCTAGGCAAAATGCGGTGTTATTTCCTTGTAGGTTATACCCTGGATTACAGCTGTATGTTATATTTGACATGTACACTATTCCATTGCTCGTATCAACTGTACCATTAGCGGGATTATCCGGATGACTACAATCTTAGAAAACGGTCAAGAATGATATTTACACAAATGTAACAGCAACAAATGGTGTAACAGCAATCAATATGTAACAACAAACAATGGTGTATTAGCAACTAATTGTGTAACAGCCCACGATATTATCATACATCACTGATTTATTTCCAGCGTAACATTACGTGACGTCACTTAACGACCCGCTGATATTACCTAAACCTATGATAATCATTATAGAAACACAAAAAATGAATTATACGTTAAAGTACATGCCAAGTTGACGGGCGTTTTTAAGAAAATTGAACACATTTTTAATAAATGAACAGAACATAAATATTATAATAAAAATAATATAAATTAAATATATATGGGAACATCTTTACTGACTAAGGAAAACATTATATGTGTGTACGAAGAAGATAACTATGAATTTTAACTAACTTCTGATGTCACATCTTGGTAAACGTAAACTCCATGTTTTGTTTGCCTGACATTTTGTTGTGTTAGTACCAATCAAATCGTAGCCGACATAGCAACTGTATATGGCAACGGATTGGAAAGTTGTACCATTATCTGTTGTTATGTTTCCATAAGTGGGACCTGCAGGCTGGCCACAATCTGTAAAGTTTCAGATCTTTCTTGAAAAATTATTTAGGTTGTTTTTATATATAATAAAGTTATAATAATAATGTTGATGTTTATATAGTTTTGTTACTGTCAGTTTATCAATAAATCACACTTTTTTCTCAAATTAAAAAAAAGATGCTTGTTTCATTACTTATTCGTTATTTATATATTTCTGAGAGGTTATATTTTTGTATTAAAATGGAGTCATATCACCTGTCAACACTCTTTTTAACTATTATCATAAATTGAGGTTAGAAGTAAGCCACTGCATTTTAAATTATAGAAAAGAAATGTCAGAAAATATCTAAAGGAAGAACTCAGATTGGTTCAAATTATCATCTTATGTCTTAGAAATTATCTTGATCAAAATCATTATACATGTATAAAACATGTACTATACTGTATAAAAGAAACAAGGTATTGCATGTATCTCATAATCAAAGTCAAACTGAATTGGTCTACAATGGAAGGTATACAATAAATAACTATGTAAATAGCATTTAGTATCAAAGAAGGAATTATATATGTATGCTTTTAGCAAATGTGAAATACATGATGCGATATAACCTTAGTATATATTCAATTAATTAACATGTTCAAGAACAAATATTGTAATACATCATATAAATGCTTATTTTAAATAACTTAGAATTTGATCAAAATTTTTTAAATAATATTTTGTTAGAATATCCAAATTATACATTTATTTTGCTTTTATCAATATTTGAAAAACTTATGGAAAATGTGCCAATTGCAGACCTATCAACTTTTGAAAAAAAAACGCAAAGTATCCATCGTCAATTTAACCAAATAAATATTTAAGATATTTTAAGAACACATAGAAAACATGCATGCATAAAAAGGACAGTTAGATATTACAAAGATTAAAACAAATCAAATACCATTTATTGTGCAATTTAGGTAATGTTCCGTCCAATTTCCTGATGATTGACAACGTGCTGCATTATCACCATACAGCGTATAGCCTATGTCGCATGTGTACCTTGCCACGGACTGATATTCAGTCCCATTTGTAAGGTTAACTTTACCGTGTGCAGGATCTTTCAATTTGGCGCAATCTGTAAAACACGTACACTCATATTTATTCTACTGCACGTTTTGTAACGGTGCATTTCATTGGATACTTGTGACGATTATATGAACTATATTTACGGCTGCTATCAATTTATGAATTACTGTACACGTTTTTCACAAAATAAATACATAAATTAGTAAATTTAAAAAAACCAAAAAAAAACTAATAAACTAACAAAAAAGAATCATTAACGGGAATGACTGTTGAATTTTCAATGTTAATTTAAGATTGTGAATTAAAAGGGAACCTCCTATATCAAAATTTCATGTAAATGCAGATGTCTTTGTATAACAAGAATGTAACCATAAACAGAAAGTCTTTTTTAGGTCGTCAGCGTCTATAAAGAGTCCATAAAACGCCATTGACTATTAAGAAAGATAACTCTTTACCGAAACTTAAAACCCGTGTTATCGGTGTTCTATATAGGGCATGTAAAACGACCAGGGAAGCCTTTTAAACGAGGAGACTACTGTGTTCTACCATAACTTCAAAAAGATGCAGGCAAATTTTTCAGATGGTGGAGCAAATATGAGCAACAGAAATACGAGCATAAATACACTAAAATGATTACATACTAAACTTTTTTTCTGTTACAGAATACCACGGCCGTTTCAGGGAGAAAACTCAATAAACTTAACAAATACATGTAAACAGAATGTAAAAGTTATGTGAAAAGAGAGATGAGCTTTCGGAACATTAAGAAAACAAATTGTTGTAGTTTGAAGCACAGAGATAATGCTGTTACTACAATTACAGTTTAAAAATTACCAGAAACTTTTAAACAACAGGTACTGAAATAAATTTCTTACGATATGAAAATATATTTTTATGAAAGTTTTTGATCAAAACTACCATGTATTTTAAATAGTACAAATAAAAAGATATAGAATTTTGTAAAAGGAAAGAAATTGTTTAGTTTTTGTTATTTTTTTAATATCATAAGAAGTGCATAAGAATATCTTTCAGATAGAACAATAATGAATATTCCGTAAGTTTTAAAGTGTCTCGACACTGAGGGTTTTTTTTAACATTAGGGGACATGGAAATGATTTTTCGAGATTAATTTTCCATTTGATGTAGGTCTAGACCAATAACTTGTTTGCAAAAGTCCAGACCATTCGCTCACTCCTTTTTTCCAGTATGATAATTCTAATTGTGAAATAATGACCAACCTTTGAAAAGCATTGCCACGCTTTTAACTCGACTGGGTATAGAATGGCACAAAAATACCATTTTCATTTCAATTCCGAGCATATTTTATGATCTTTTGCAAATCTCTCCCTTAAGCCCATCTCACACAGAACACACGGTTTATACGGTTAGCCACCCGTGTAAACCGTACATTCAACCGAACTAACCGTGAGTTTAACCGTGTTACACTCGGGCCATTCGAGTGTATCCGTGCAAGCCGTGTATTTTTTTTAACTTTTAAAAAACTGGTACGGATGCAATTTCCGTGTATGATCGTATTAACGACCGTACAAGACCGTAAGAGACCGTGTGAGACCGTTTGAGACCGTATATACAATCGTATGTGAAGTCCACTCCACGAGTGAGCCCAATCGTGCCAAGATCGTATATAAAGCGTATAGAATCGTTCAAGACCGTCCCCAAGTCCTACATCCAACACATTAACATCCGAATGTCACACGATCACTGAACGATTCACACCAGTGCACATACGGTTTCATACGATCGCTATACGACCGATATGGTTCAAGTACGAATCTTACATGGCAGACACGGTATAGTTCGGGTAAACACGGTCTCACACAGCCTCGTACGGTCTTACACGGCCTCTACATCACCATGAACTGTACAACGAAAACCACAACTACCTGCTAACACCCTCAATTGCTAGATCTACCCAGAGTACTTGCTGCATCATACTAGAATGTGTCCAAAGAAGAAAGTTCCCACGCACAGAAGGAATGCAAGAAGGGCCATCCAGGATCACCGACCACTCCAACCTTCTGACCCTGCCGAACCTGGTGAGCAGGGGGACCCTCCAATGTCTATAAGTCTTACCATGATTTCTAATAACCTTATCCTGTTATCTGTTGCATCTGGCAATGTTTTATATAACCAATATTCACATATATATTCATAGGTGTTCTTCTTTGAAAGTTTGAAATTTTATGAAGCCAAGACATCAGAATGGGTCAATTCATATCAAAACACACGAATATGTGATAGTTCGAGCATAACTCGAACAAAAGACGGCGGAACCCTATGTTAACCCTGTGAAAGTCGAGTAAATCGAGAAAAAATCGTGTTTAATCGTACCAAGCTGTACTTGGAGACGTGCAACAATCGTATGTAATCGTATGCAAATCGTGTTCAAACCTTGTTTGACCAAGTATATCCGTGCTATATACGTACATGCTCGTGCTATATTCGAGTCTAACTCGTCCCCAGGCACGGATGGAGCTAAATACTCGTACCAGTCAATCCGTGTATAACCGAGTATACCGTATGGGAACCGTGAGCCCAACCGTGTTTTGTGTGAGACGGGCTTTAGCAAGCATGGTTACATACCTTTTATCGAACAATTAGGAGCAGACCCGCTCCACGTTGCGTTCGCCTGACATATTCTTGTCGTTGAGGTGTTGGTATAATAGCCTTCGTTACATGTGTAAATCGCAACCGATTCATACGTTGTTGCACCATTGAGTAGAGAAACATTTCCGTTCGAAATATTTGAAAGGTTTTTGCAATCTAAAATTAACAAGAGCTGTCAGTAGGATAGCGTGCTTGACTATTTTCTATGTTTGATAGTAAAACAAAAGCCTGAATATTATGGAATTTTATAAGTGCAGAAAGCGAAAATAATTCTGTAAAAGAAATCTATGTTTGAGTTATGGGTCTTGGACAGTTGCCTCCTATTATTATTACAAATTAGTGTGTGGAGTTTTAACCAGATCATTGATACCAACTTGAATGCAAAAAAAAATAAAAATGTGAACAGCAAATTAAATTGTTAAGTAAACATCAATTTTGGTACTGCTGAACGTGATGTATTGTTGACTGGAACATAGACTACATAAAACTGAATAAACAGAAATACTACCAAGAAATAAATCTGTTTTATACCATTTATTTTGCATTGTACGTGGGGGTAATCCCAAGTCCCGTTTTTAGTGCAAGTTGTTATGTTACTACCATTTAAGGTATATCCAACATCACAGCTGTATGTTGATACGGATAAGTATGTTGTTCCGTTGCTTTGGTCAACAGTACCATTTGTAGGGTCGGTAATATTTCTACAGTCTGAAAAAAGTAACAACAAGAAATGAGCAGCCGCCAGTCGACATATTATTTATGTCGTCTAATACTCATTCGTATTGATAATGTGTTTAAAAGAATTATATAAGAAATAGATCTTTAAATTTCATCAAAACTATATAATTTGCTAGGGATCGACTTGAGAACTCATACAATAAACTCACCCTTTTATATGTTACATTTGCAGAACGACTTAAGTGTATATTTCCGCCTGTCGATAAGTTAGCGAATTGAAAAGTCCAAGAAGTTTCGCCCGGGGTAAAATTTAATGACAAGTTAGTTGATATTTACGCAAGTGGAAATTTAAGCGATTTTCACCAATTCGAGAAATTTCAGCGTCGCTAACTTAACCACTTAATGTACAAAAGTCATCAGGTACATTGGATTATTAAGTATACTTACCGTTTAATAGTTCTTTTTTGTAACATTTTTGTCTATATTAGAATTTCATAAACAACAATTCATTTACAGCCGGCATTTGTTTTGTCCTGAATAATATTTCACCCGTCGATTAAGTGTTCCAACATTTTCAAACGTAACAGTAGAATGATCCTTTACTTTAACCAACAAGCCGAGCCGAAACTTCTATCATAATAATTTCATGCAATTTAATTTACTTGAAAGAAAACATTTTTAAATATAACCGACACTTACCTTTGATATTGCATTTTGGAATACTGTTCCAATAGCCAGAAGCATTACATACCGATGATCCATTCTTAGTTAAGCTATAACCATCGTTGCATGTAAATGTTGCAATAGAATTATATGTCGTGTTTACGAATGTTACATTTCCATTATCTGGTTTTGTCAGATTGCCACAATCTATTGGAATAAAATACGTATGGCATACAGAATTATATTTGATATCTGTTTGCTCGTTATAATTACCTTTGAAGTAGTTATTTACTTTTGGAACTTTACAGAATCGCGTGGAGTTAAATTGACAGACCATTGATACGACATCTGATCACGTAGAGCGATGAGCGTTAAGAGAAGACAAGAATGTAGAGAAGACAAAAGTGTAGTGCAGACTAGAATGTGGAGTAGACGAAATGTATTGTAGATGAGGATGTAGTGTAGATGAGATTGCAGTTTATTTCATGCTTTCCAGTGTTTTATTGTAATATATCAGATGATTATATTCTGATAAACCACTAGTGGAATTTATAAATATATAATTTTCACTGTAGCCGGACAATATCTGAATGCGGATGAAAAGAAAATCATAACTAAATGGAATAACAGATAAATAAATAAATTTGCTTCTTTAGGAAAAGAAAGTCGATGTCATCATAAATCATGGTTAAAATGTAACAAAATTCAGAGAAATCTAACAGAACTATATTTCAAAATTGATGATGAGACGTCATGATGTGATGACGTCACAAAGGAGAATGCGCGACGTTACGCGGCAAAATCAGTAAAAAATACTTAAAATCACTTAAAAAGCATGAAATAAAAAGAAAATTTATTTCTTTTACATATAAGATTGAAATATATTTCATTCGTGAACACCAGCTATTATATTTTCACTCGAGGCTACGCCACTCGTGAAAATATTGCATCTGGTGTTCACTCAGTGAAATTATATTTCAATCTTACATGCAATACAAACAAATATCCTCTATGCAGTCAAAAATATAAAGCAGACCAGAATGCAGAGCAGACGAAAATATATTGTAGACGAGGATGTATTGTATACGAAAATGTATTGTATAGGAGGATGTAGACCAGTTGAGAATGCAAAACATACGATCTCTGTAAATCTAGTCTCTTTCTGCAGTCTGATATAATGATTATACAAGTATCCTTCAAAACTGTATAAGACGGGAATTATTCTTGTTAAAAAAAGGTATCCATTATAATGGATTCTTATAAATAATAATTAATCATACGCTCGTTTCAGTAGCCCCTTAACCTTTTGGAGGCAAATGGATATGCAAATGAGAAACTTGCAGACTAAGACGAACGGCAGAATTCTACGGTCTAATCATGGTTTGCTTTGTTCACTATTCAGTCAGTATTTGTTTTGCAAAATTGGAGTATGGACAGGTTCTTTTAAGATATTTTACGTGCATGGTATGGGAAAGATAATAATATTAGTATATATGTTTTAGTTTATAAAAGTGAAAATCAAAAGATAACGAACCTGTGATTCGGCATGTCGGTGGCTTTGTGTTCCATGTACCATTCAGCAAACAATACAAACTGCTGTTACCATGTAAGGTGAATCCTATGTCACACTGATAAGACGCCCGAGACGTTGTGACGTTTGCTTTGCCATTGGTAATGTTGGTATAATTCGCTGACTTAGTGCATGCTTCAAATACACACATAAAGAAAAATTTGACCCATTTAGCGTTGTTGTTTTTACAAGAAAGACATATGAGCCGTGTCACGACAAAACCAACATAGTGCATTTGTGACTAGCATGGGTCAAGCCCAGCCTGTGCATCCACGCAGTCTGATCAAGATCCATGCTGTTCGCTATCAGTTTCTCTACTTGTAATAGGGTTTGTAAGCGAACAGCATGGATCCTGATCAGACTGCGTGGATGCGCAGGCTGGTCTGGATCCATGCTGGTCGTAAAGCCATTATGTTGGTTTTGTCTTGACGCGGCTCATATGTTATTTTCTAAGATGATGGAGCATATTTGATAGATGTATAACAATATTGGATTACTGCAGCAGAGGATATATGTCTATAGACTTTATCACATAAATCAACATAATTATCTGTTTTATTGCATGATTAATGATATCAGACTAATTTACTAATTTGTTAAAAACACAATAAATTAAAGAAAAACACATAATTAACAGTGTTTTGTATCTATATAATCAAAAAACTCTGATTACTTTTAGTATAAATTTATTTGACATTGAACATTTAGACACTGAAACTGAATCGATGTAGAAAATGTGTAATATGAAAAACCTTTTTTTTTCTTTTTTTTCTTCTTCTTTTTTCTTTTTCTATGGACTCGGAAAATGAAAATGAAGGAGTGCAATATCTATTTGATTCGTTTTTTTGGACTAAACTGGAGACAAGAAGTTGAAGCTAAATTGATAAGACTGGATTAAAAAAAAGAAGATTTTTTTCCACATTACGTGGTGAAAATAGCGGTAGTTGACTGATCACATTTTATAATAATATTACGTAAATTCACTTAATTGTTCTTACTATTTAATGTACAGTTCTGTTCAATGTCATGCCAAGTGCCATCTGCTTGACATGTGGTAGAGTTATCCCCATGTAATGTATATCCGGGATTACATTTATATAAGGCTGATGCTCCAAACATTGTTCCATCTGAAAGGTCAACAGTACCGTTGCCTAGTTGTTCTGGGTCTCCACAATCTTGAAACAGTAAAAATATCAATTTGAATAAAATACAACAACGTAAAAAACGGAACTTTAACTCTGAAAAAGTACCTCAAGACTAAATGACCATATATTCTTTTTTTTCTTATTTCAGTATAGCGTGTCACTTCACGTCAAGTCCGTTTGGAGTCGCGGCCAAATTTCTATATTAAAATGACACAGATAATAAAAGGGGCTTGAAAAAAAAAGAACAAGATATTTTGCATTTGAAAATTAATGAAATCAGTGAAATTATTCTTTCGATATGAAAAAATACAAATACGTTTAGGCAAACTTTTATCTAGTTTAATTTAACATGTGACCAATCAGTCACGTGTCAAACCTTTAATTTTGCAATATGTTTTATTGTCACTCCAGTGTCCTGATGCCATGCAATTTATTGTGTTCGATCCTGTCAGGTTATAGCCGGCATCACATGTGAATGTAGCGTTTGAACCGTACACTGTGGTGTTTTTAGAAAATGTTATGGTGCCGTTTGCTGGTGCTGCAAGGTGTCCGCAATCTGTAAACATATTTGACCATTTGCAAATATATCATCACAAATAGATTTTTGACAAAGTATGTACAGTAAAAAACTGATGTATGCCGAAACAATAAATTTGAATTCAAAAGGTATCCAAAAGCTGCCATTATGTTGAATAACATGACAAGGCAATCAACAGGCGGCATCTAAAGTCATGCTTGGTAATAAATAATCAGCTCAATATTTGATATTCGTTTTAGTTTTCAATTCAATTTCAAAAGGAATGTTGAGCTTGACAATCGACATTTAGCTTAACATTCGATATACATTAGTTTCCAATACAATCTCAACAAAAGTAATGTTGGGCAAGACAATCCGCACTCCACTTGACATTCTAAATTACGGATGTTAAGCCATACAACAAAAGACATTTAGCTCAAGATAACGATGTCCGTTTGTAAAGAATGTAATTGTATTAATGATAATTTAGCAAGACAATCAACATTCATCACCGATGATTAAGTTTATAGATATTGAATGTACATTACCTTTAATCTGACAAACTGTGGTATTGTCACTCCAGAATCCAGTCGCCTGACACGTAACGGTAACATTTCCAAACACATTATATCCATTGTTACACGAATATGTGCCATTCGATTTAAATAATGTACTGTTCAACGTGACTTTGCCATTTGGTGGTGATGTTAAATTTCCACAATCTAAAGACAGTGAAATGTGGCATATAAGAAAACTGAACAATACAACAGGACCTGTCGTGTAAAGCAGTCAAATGCTCCCATTCCCCATCCCCTCCATCAGGCTAAGATGTGTCTAGATGTTGTCTTTTTCTATAAGCATAAACTTATTTATCCATCATCAGCATTTTTTATATTATCAAAGAACAATTATTGTTTGGAAACACATAAATCACGGAAAGTAGTGTCCGAAAAAGGAATTATCGCCAAAGGCATGGTCACTATAATAAGAAACATTAAAAATACTTTATCATATTCTACGTGTGCCCAATTGTTTAAAAACCAAAGTGCAACCTTGATATCTAAGTGTATTTTAAATCTTTCTAGCTCTTGACCTGTGATCTTTGCGTGTTACAAAATGTCATAATGCTACAAAAGTAGGCCTAGGTATTTAAAATTCCGTGAATGTAAAACAAAATTGATGTCTTAATATATGACCAATATTTCTTTTTATATAAGGGAACCCTTAAAAGTCTTAGAGTGAGTGACTTTGGTCTTAAAGCTTTACATTTATTCTCAGGCAGCACAAATTGCTTTAAAGTACCAAATTATTGTAAAAGCTGTAACTGAATGTCATAGATATGTTCTGGATATGACACTCAATGTACTGTCATATCATGACCCTTGCCATTCTAGTGTGAATTTTGCAGTTGCGATGCTGCGAAATGTGTTGACAACATGTCATCTTCATTAGCAACATATCTGTGAATATCTATTCCAAATTCCATCCTTAATAGCAAAATATATGCTCAAAAGAAGAACATCTGATCACAATTACAACATTTGACTAACAAGGTGTAACCTTGACCTTTTAACTGGAGACGTGGATCCTAAGCGCAACACAAGTCATCATCAGTATTCATCACGTCTTACACATTTAGGCAAGTCATTTTAAAATCCATCAAAACTGACATAATTGTTGACCGGACACAAACATCAGTGCACTATGAATATTATATCATGATTTGTAAATAAAAAATTGACCTTGACATTTGAGCTGGCAATCCTTTTTCTATGCGACATGTAGTCATAATGTACAACATATATATGCCAAGTTATTTTTAAAGCCATCGTTAAATGATGACCATAAGTGCCCTTTTATTAAAACAGTAATATCATAATTTTTTAAATTAAATGTGACCTTGACCTTTGAGCTGGGACCAGATTTTTGCGCCGGACTCGTTGTCATAATGCTCAACACATCTATGCATAATATTTCTAATACATCAGGAAAGACAGAAGTGTTGACCGGAAACAAAAATCAGTACATCAACACAATGTGCTAAACTTTAACACAATATCATTCATAAAGTGTCAGGTAAATCAAAGATGTTACGAATTCAAAACAGTTTACTTCAAAATATGATATGATGCTTAAATGGTGGGTTCATAACATTTCCTTTGCAGATTTGTTTTTCTTCGAATTCATTAAACACATCTAGCTCTTTTTTTTCCAACCGTTTCAACCGTAGCTTAATATTGTTAAAAAACAAACAATACATAGATTTTACATAATAAAACAGTACATGTATTTAAGTACGTGCATATAAACATTATTTAATTGCATTCTGTTGTTTTTTTGTAGATCGATTAGAGATTAATTAGAACATGATCAAATTTATGCATGTGAAACACAAACGTAACGTTATGAATAGAAATAAAAAACTACATATTCAATTTATTTTTGAAAGTGAATGATATTTATTCTTGATTCAAAATAACCTTAACCTATAATATTTATTTTTTAAGGTCTAGTATATGGCCTTTGTTATTATAAAACTTTGCTTCTGAACAGAACCCATTCAATATTTCATGACTTTGCTCTATAAAATGTCATTTACTTTTACAAAAAAATAAAATTTATCATCTAATAATTTCACCTTTTGGTATACATTCGGACACATTCTGCCATTTCCCTGTATGAGTACATGTAATGTTTGTTGTTGAGGTTCCAGTCGTTTGACCGACTTCCTGGTTGTAGTATCCTTCATCACACACAATCTCGCCCGTTGACTCATACTTTGTACCATTGTTCTGGTATCGTACCTGGGCATGACTCACATTAAGGATAGATATATTTCCACAATCTGTACATAAAAAAAAATTAATATAGATAACAGTATATTTATTTGTTTCAATATCATATATAAAATATCGCATATATCATATATCACATATCATATAATATATCACTTATAACATCATATTTATGTGTATTGTATTTTATTGGATTGCATTGTTTCGAAAAAAATGTTTAGAAAAATGAATATCTTGTGGCTATTGTCAAAAGTGGTTGAAGTTATAGATGAAGTACTTGAATAACGTTACGTGAATTTTTATTAATATAACTCTATGCTAATATGTCGGTTATTTACACCTCATGATATATTATATACTGGGGCTATTGAACAAAAAATAAAAGGGCATGCTTTTTAAAATTTAAAAATTTTGAAATTAGTTTTAAAAATTGTTTTTTAAAGTTTTTACAATGTCACACAAGTTAAGACTAGTACTTGTACAAAATAGTATTAGTTTTTAATGTTCAAGGGCGTAAAAGAATGGTGTCTACATATCCAGTGCCTGTGATAAAAGACCTTTATAAGATTTTGCCTTTTCCACTCTTGTATATTTTGTTGTACATTCAATGTAAAATGAAATGAAGTAATCATCAGTTGAAATACAATGTTTAAACTTAAAATTGAAAACAATTAAACTAATTGTATGTTCGTAAATAAAGCCCAAACCTTTTCTGATACAAGTCGGTATATTAGACAATTCCCAGTCCCCTTTGTACATTTTTTATTTCTGTTTTTTTGATATTTCCCTCCGTCTGTTCTCCTGTTTCCCTGTATTTCCCCCAAACACAGCTGATAATTTTTCAACGGGGAAATGTACTTCGTCCGTTTTAAAAAGCTTTTAAAATTTTTTTTCTTTGGTATATTTATAAAATAAACCCCCACAGTCCCCGAAAAAAAATAAAATGGGTTTTAAAAATACATTTAAAAAATTAAAAATTTATTCTAACGTCTTCAAGTAATCGGACATTTAAAGAGGAAGTGTAATGTTTTCAGGGAACTGAATTCATACCGGAAGTGTAATTCATGTCACTCTGTCTTCTTCGTTTGCTCTATATAGATGATGTCGGAAGAATATTCTTTTCATAAAATATATACAATGTATTTAGTAAGTTCAATAAGATTTTAATTTTCAAATTTCTGGCGAGTATGATAACGTTCAGTAATCAGTCAATATTTTTTGTAATGAATCTGTACAATAAAGTGACAATAAATTTTAAATGTACGAACAACAGTTTACAGCTATAAAATTTATATGTTCTTGCATGATTTAAAAATACCGAGAACTTTCATCATTTCATACGTTTAGCGCATATGACGTTACGTTATGCGATAAAATCAAATTGTCTTAAGCTTACAGAAAATAAAAATAATGTGAATATACTAGAGAAATAGATAAAATTTTATATTGAATATTATTTGTTTTTAATAGATTTTAATTATAAGCATAAATAAAGCACAATAACACAATTTGATATGGCAACAAGGAGATTTAAAATGTGTGGATACCTTTGCGTACACAGAGAGGTAAGTTAATCCACTTCCCTTCATCCGAACAACGAATTGTTGTTGTTGATATGCTAGTTGTTTGTGATTGTGTGTTGTTATCGAAATATCCCTCCAGACATTTCACGTCTGCTGTAGAGTTAAACTTGGTGTCATTATGCCGTTGTACTGTTTCATTTGTGTTGTTGAGGTTCAGATCTTTGACGTTACCACAGTCTATAAATAGATTAGTTTACAGAAACTTAAAAAAATAAAAAAATCGAAACAAAAACCACACACAAAACAAAACGGCGATCTTTTAAAACTGTTCATAACTTTATCTCAACATAACACATGCTTTATACACCACGCAGTCTAATAAATTATATTCCTTATACATATATCAGTTAACTATACAATCTAGGTGTAATGCTATCAAAGTCTTATTTCTGGCCGGCTTACTTTCAAGTAAATTTAGGCTGTAAAAAAAATAATGGCGTAGTACCGAGAGACAGGCTTATTTTCAAAGTTAAAGGATATCCTGCCAAATAAGCATTTTTATACCAACTGCACCCTTTTAGTTAGTTTTGGTTTGGTTGTTGTTTGAAATAAGTGCGATCTTTAAAAAAGCACCTTACCATTAACACCATATAAAGTGTATTTATACCATTACATCTTATTTTATTTAATCAGTTCAGTAAAGCTTATCTATACAATGATGTTTATAACAACTTTATGTTTCAAAACGTTTCAAATATTTCGGTCCTCGCATAATTTAGTGCATGTGCTTATCAGGTTGTATGTGTCACGAAAGACATTGTCATACGGGCCCTATTTTCAATATATATACATAGTAGCAAATTTCCAGGTTTTATTCTGAAAGGGTGTTATAAATCCTAGATGTCGATTTATTATAGTGTATCATTTCTTGTTATCTTAACTTGCATTTCCATGTAAAAATCTTTTAATTCCGTTCAGTAACTAAAATTTATTTTATCACGTGACAAAGCAGAAAACCCTCAGATGATTCCTTCTTCATCATTACAGATTGACGTAAATTGTTTTGCTTTACAAAGATAGCTTGCGGGAGAAGAATCTAGAGTTTCTTTTAACTTGAAAATACTTTTGGAAATGTACATACATACATTTGTTGTACCATTGGCAGAGTTTTATTATGATGTATTATTTAAAATATGGAACGCTGTTATTATATTTGTCCGTTATACATCTTGGTATTCATGTATGCATGTTCATTCATAAATCTTATTGCAAGATTGTACTAGCTGCAAGGTGCTTGTTATAATTATTAGTCATTACTTAACATCAGGTTTACTAATTAATGAAACAACTTTCATATATCATTAACAGTGACAATTCGGTGACAAGCAGTGACTACCGTAACACCTAATCTTTATTACTTGAAACGTTAACTGTAGGAACCAGTGAAGGTACGATGTACCACATTGGGCAAATTTATGCCCAATGCTTTATAGTATTATATGACTTGTGGTGCTTTATATCTCAAGTATTCGACCCAGGGCTAGACTCCACAACTTGGTCAATGATTATAGCAGTTGAAAGTCTGAAAAGCCCGATTCTGACCCGATACAGCAAGGACGGCTACATGACGATAACCAGTGATCCTAGTGTACTATCCCGACACGATACAGCAAAGACGGCTACTGTACGATAACCAGCGATCCTAGAGTACTATCCTGACACTATTCAGCAATGACAGCTACTTAACGATAACCAGCGATCCTTGTGTACTATCCCGACACGATGCAGCAAGGACGGCTACTTTACGATAACCAGCGATCCTAAGGTACGGTCTTGACACGATACAGCAAGAAAAGCTACTAGACGATAACAAGCGTTCCTAGTGTACTATCACGACACGATACAGCAAGGAATGCTACTTGACGATAACCAGTGATCCTTGTGTACGATCCTGACACAATACAGCAAGGACGGCTACTTGACGATAACCAGCGACCGTAGTCTACTATCTCGACACGATACAGCAAGGACAGCTACTTGACGATAACCGGCGATCCTAGTGTACTATCACGACACGATACTGAAGGACGGCTTCTTGACGATACCGGCGATCCTAGTGTACTATCCCGACACGATACAGCTAGGACGGCTTCTTGACGATAACCAGCAATCCTACTGTACTATCCCGACACGATACTGCAAGGACGGCTACTTGACGATAACTAGCGATCGTAGTGTACTGTTCTGACACGATACAGTGAGGACGGCTACTTGACGATAACCGGCGATCCTAGTGTATTATCCCGACACGATACAGCAAGGACGGCTTCTTGACGGTAACCAGCAATCTTAGTGTACTATCCCGGCACGATACAGCAAGGACGGCTACTTGACGTTAACCAGCGATCCTAGTGTACTGTTCTGACACGATACAGCAAGGACGGCTACTTGACGATAACCAGCGATCCTAGTGTACTATCCCGACACGATACAACACGGACGGCTTCTTGACATAACCAGCATTCCTAGTGTACTATCCCGACACGATACAGCAAGGACGGCTGCTTAACGATAACCAGCGATCCTACTATACGATCCCGACACAATACAGCAAGGACGGCTACTTGACGATAACCGGCGATCCTAGTGTACTATCACGACACGATACAGCAAGGACGGCTTCTTGACGATGACCGGCAATCCTAGTGTACTATCCCGACACGATACAGCAAGGACGCTACTTGACGATAACCAGCGATCCTAGTGTATTATCCCGACACGATACAGCAAGGACGGCTTCTTGACGATAACCGGCGATCCTTGTGTACTATCCCGACACAATACAGCAAGGACGGCTACTTGATGAAAACCAGCGATCCTAGTGTTCTATCACGAAACGATATAGCAAGGACGGCTACTTGACGATAACCGGCGATCCTAGTTTATTATCCCGACACGATACAGCAAGGGCGGTTACTTGACAATAACTGGCGATCATAGTGTACTATCCCGACACGATACAACAAGGACGGCTTCTTGACGATAACCAGCAATCCAAGTGTACGATCCTGTCACGATACAGCTAGGACGGCTTCTTGACGATAACCAGCGATCCTAGTGTACTATCCCGACACGATACAGGGAGGACGGCTATTTGACGATAACCAGCGATCCTAGTGTACGATCCCGATACGATAAGCAAGGAAGGCTACTCGACGATAACCAGCGATCCTAGTGTACGGTCCTGTCACGATACAGCTAGGACGGCTTCTTGACGATAACCAGCGATCCTAGTGTACTATCCCGACACGATACAGCAAGGGCGGTTACTTGACAATAACCGGCGATCATAGTGTACGAACCTGATACTATACAGCAAGGACGGCTACTTGACGATAACCAGCGATCCTAGTCTACTATCTCGACACAATACAGCAAGGACGGCAACATGACGATAACCAGCAATCCAAGTGTACGATCCTGACACGATACAGCAAGGACGACTATACATGTATGTCGATAACCAGCGATCCTAGTGTACCATCCCGACACGATACGGCAAAGACGGCTAGGAACATTTCATTACCGGAAGATAGTGTCAGGTATAACGACTCGTATACAAAAGAGGGTGGGAGCTACGCTTTTGACGATTACAGACAGCAAATGAAGTTAAAGGATTTTTCGTGCTGTCTGTTCAAAGCGAACACCTACTTTTCGTATTGATTTCGTGATTTTTGGATCTTTCTGATGTCAGATCAGAAAAGCTAACATTTAACATAGAAGCCAGCATGGAGGTTGCAAGAACAATACGTAATTTGTGATAGGTATCTTTATGGGTATCAGTATACTTTGGTATCACTACAACGTGTTACTGTAAGTGCAAGGTATAGGATTTATTTCAAAGTGTACGACTTTCCCTTAAAGTAAATGACAGGCTTTAGTCTATGAAATGAATTTTATTTTCATTTCATTTCTCCATTTGTAGATATTTCAATTCTTTTGTAAATACGAGTAATAAACTTGATTTATTGAATTTTTGTATTTGTTGTTGTTGTTGTTGTATTATCTGCTGTTGTCGGTCCATCATATGACAATGTGTAAAATGTCTACATAAAATTGGTGACTGATTATAGCATACTAAGTACATGTATCATATCCTTAAATACATACAAGTAGGGTATCTTTATAAACTCATATGTGCGTTTATCTTATCAAATTGGTTCAATGATCGCAAGCAAATCTCTTGAAAGCAATAGATATAATTTTAAGCAATCAAAGTCATTGATAACTCGATATTAAAGTAAGACTCATTTGCTTTGTTTATCCAGTTTTGCTCTCAAATTAACTCCCCTTAGCGGAACTTCATATACTTACCCTGATTAAGATAGTTCTTTTAATCGTTTTATGTAAACTATCACATAATTATTTCAATTCTAACTAAATAAGTTTCGTTTTACATTAACTATTAAATGAGCTATTTTTAATTATCTTACACAAAAATAATGTTACCTTCACTATATTAACATGACTGTTGGGTACCAATATTAACACATATCTCGCGTATTTCTTTTTCATGATATTAAATATATGTTTACCTTTTCGGACACATTTTGGTAAATTGTCCCACACTCCACTTTCATTACATCTGATAATCTTGCCTGTAACTCCCGGCACCTGTGTTTCATCTTTATCTTTAAATCCCACATCACAGCTAACATTGGCGATCGCTGTATAGTTGGTTCCATTTATGGGCATTCTGGAACCTGCGTTCATCATAGTTATGTTTTGTAAACTTCCACAATCTGAAATATGAAACAGCACATTCAATGAATAGGCGAATAAAATTATGACAATCAAATGAGACAAATTCTAGTGAGCAATATGTTTTATTTGTATTACATTAAATTACTAAACCTTTTTTTTATACATTTTTGTATTTACAGTACTAAATACCTGTTGTTGCTGTTGTTATTGTTGTTGTTGTTGTACATATATATAATACCGTGTTTTACATTTTACTATTACAGTACTATAAAACTGATAGACATTTTAATTGTCTTATACATAAATCACTTTTTGTTCTTGTGAAATCAAATATTCCAACATTATTTTGTTAGAATTATATTGCTAATGATTGGTTGGAATCCATTGTGACACTTTTGACACATCAGAAAGGGATTCAACTAGCATAATTGTGGTAAGAAAGATCTACAATATTGCACTGATACCTTTAGGAATGCAGATCGGCATGTCTGTCCACTTTCCCGTTTTAGAGCATGTTATTGTTCTTGTTGATATCTCCATCAATTGAGTTTGACCCTTGATATAATAGCCTTCATCACAATGTACGTTTGCAGTTGATTTGAACGTGGTACCATTATCCTGATTTATGCTTGCTGCATGATCTATATGTTCTTTGTTAACGTCACCACAATCTAAAGATAGAGCATGCATACATATACATGTATATATTTTAGTACGGTCTTCTTATTTTACAATAATAATAAAAGAGTAACTGTTATTACAAAAGAAAAATACAGATCTATACAAAATTTGAAATTATTCTTTCTTAAAAACAATCAAATATATTCTATTATAGGTAAATGTAAGATATTTTAATTCATTTATCAGATTTACATTCGTATTAATCAAAGTAATTACAGATAAACCATTACAATTAATGATAATATCAATATAAAGTGGTAAATTCATTGTTTATCTAATTGTAATGTAAAAATGAATTTTAAAGCTTTTTTTGAAAGATAGTGATGTCAAACATTATAAGATAGTAATACTTTATTTGTTTCAAAACACAGTAATGCTGACATAAGATGACGAATGCTTTAAATTATTAGTATGGGGTATAGTTTTAAGTACCCTATCCTTATGAGCGACTGATTATGTTGGCAGTTCTCTTTTTTTGAATGTCCACTTTATTTATGTAACTGCCCTTCCCCAAACCTTACAACAAAAATCAAGCATTGGAAGGATATACGCGCCACAAACTACCATTTGTTGCAAATATTTATTTTAAGATCAAATTAGATGTGCTTATCAATGAAGTTGAATCATTAATCTAAAAATGCCTCATCATAGTAGTCTGTAAATGTTTTCTCATTCGTAACAGAGTTGAATAGGTGTGGAATGAGGACATGTTGCGTTATTGACTCATGTACCTTACAAGGTTTATATCACCCTATGCAGTGTCTACTGTCATAAATGTAAATGGCGAAATGTATGTAGATTTTATTCATACTTGATGACACTGCCATTGTGGAAGATATTTTGTTTAAGATTTGAGCTATTGTTGAGAGATATTTCCCCCCACCCAATACTTGGCTAAACAATATGTGCGTATGCGTATTGCGTTGCTATCCCAGGGTGAAACAATGGTGTTCATGTTAAAACCAATGCAGTGATAAAGTTGGTGGCCTGGATTATTTTCAATACTAAGTGGTACTTGGAGGCTATCATTATGGCTATCGATACTTTCAGATAACTTATCGCGTTTGACAGCTGATAGTCACCCATTGGCACAGAGTAAAAGTTTATCCATTATTCATTTTGCTCTTAGTGCTAAGATTTTTACCTTGTCCCGTATAAGGCTTAATCTAACCATATGAAATGTTTATCATATCTGACGGAATTATACCCGATTCCCCAAGCGTTGTAATCTCTTCTGTCATCTTGTTTATTTGTACGGTGCCAATTTTTGTCATAAAGAAGCTAGTTATATATAATATTAAATCATTATGTAGTTTACCGTGGTCTGTACATATCTTCGTTAACGAGGTTAAACATTTTTCGGTTTACATATTGCGGGATACATGTGATTTCGTTTAACTGTTTCATTAAAGTATACTCCGATATAATTAACAAACGTGACCCGTCTGGTGTCCTTAGTGTTTGTTGGAATCAGAGCGACCCGAGCGACTTATACCTCCAATGCTCACTTGTTTATAATATAAATATTGTTTTGATGGAACAATTGTAAGAATCACATTTGTAAGAGATCATACAGTATTATTGTATTGAGTGAGACTGAAAAAAGGATTGGAGCATCACATTAAATACAGTATTCCGGGTACATACCGGACAAGACACTTGAATGATTATATGGTAAAATCTCGCCTTTTTACCTTACGGAATGAACTTTAAAACGTCTAACTCATCTTTTCACACCGATTTATATACGATAAGGAATGAAAAATGTGAAATTCTGCGAAAAAAATCACATTTGTCTATTTTGTGATCATGATTTCTGCAAGCGTCTTGAGGTACTGCTCCAATCCTGTATTGAGTTAAATCCTATTGTATTTGGAGTGAATAAAGTATTTACGAAGACAGTAATAACAGTACAAACAGACCGACTGAAAGAAAGAAAGAAAGAAAGAAAGAAAGAAAGAAAGAAAGAAAGAAAGAAAGAAAGAAAGAAAGAAAGAAAGAAAGAAAGAAAGACAGACAGATAGACAGGTTGAATAAAATATCGGTGTTCTTATTTAATATGTATCAGAATCGAGAGAAAAAATAATGAATGTAAAATTCTACTGCTATACTTAAAAATCGTCCAATGACACTTAATAAATGCTATGTAATTGATTTCAGCACTTAATGGGTCCAATGCACCTTTGACGTTATATGAATATATACTATTAGTTATAAAGATCGTTGACAGGTTATATGGCCCTATATAAACGGCTGTTTGTAAATATAACCCGAGCCGTTAGGCGAGGGTTATATTGCAAACAGCCGTTTATATACGGCCATATAACCTGTCAACAATCTTTATAACGAATTTATAATACAGCAAGCATCATTTTTATAGAAAAAAACGTAAGATTTCTTCATGAATCGACAGCAGCCGTGTATATAAAACTATATAAACGTCACTATTATCCAATGAAAAATGACGTTACAAACGTGCAGTATTATAATGCGTATTGAATAGGCATTGCTCTCCTTCATAACAGTTGTGTTTCAAATCCATGGCTTTGCTAAAATTTGGTCTAATAGATATTTTGGAAGATGGACGGCAGGAAAGAAGATATTGAGAATAAAACAAGTTCACCTTTCTTGGTGCAGATTGGTAAACCAGTCCAGGTTCCATTTACAGAACAAGTTATCATTGTCGTTGAAATGCCTTCTGGTTGATCGTGTTTATTTAAATCATAATATCCTTCATCGCATGTGATAGCGGCTTGCGATCTGTAATTCGTTTCAGAAAATAGTAATCTAAGGCCAGCATTCGATAAATCTTCCAAATCTTCCAAAGGTCCACAATCTGAAACATTCAACAGATAACTTTTTTACAAAACAGAACAGAACATTCCCTCGTCTATCATGAACATTTACAGTTCCTCGTTATATAAATGCAAGTATACATACCTGAAGTATTTAAAGATAATACATGTTTATACATGACACATCGAAATGAAAAAAATCTATTAAATTTTAGATATATATCTTAATATTAGCAAAACACGTGCCTGGACAATTTACATGAACTTTATTCTACATGCAATTTATAATTATGATTTATAAATTGGTCCCAAACAAGCATTCGCAGTCAGCAAAAAAGAATGGATGGACAAAAATGTATTTAAAACATTTAAACTTTATAGACTATAAAAGAAAGTAAATTGTAGCACATGTATTTGAAACGTTACTGTATAAAACTTTTTTGGAATAAACTGCCATCTTAATGTAATAGTAAAAGCTGAACAAACTAATACAAAATAAAATTCATCTCTGATATGGTCACACTGACAAAAGTTGATATTTTCTCTCATTTCTATCAATGTTTCTCTGTCTAAAACTTTCAGTAAAACATTTTAAAGAGAAAATAAATATAATTTAGCAAAAGTATATATTACACGTATTAAACCTGGACATTTTGGAATGGTCAAATTGTCAGAGAGATTTAGAAAAGGTTCTTATATTCCTTTAATTAGAAGACCGAATATCATTCTATAATCATTTCAAAAATGTTTTGAAGTCTTGTACACAAAAAAATCTAAGATACGGCACATAAACATTTTGTGTTTTAAGAGGCACGAGTATAGTTTTGGAAAACAATGTCCAACTTGTGAGTCTTAACATACCATACTGTAAAGAAACATTTTTTCTCTTCATATCAAATGTGATAAAATAAACAAACTAGCAGTATGTTGCAAACACTATGATCGATCTAATCTACCATTTATGTATTAAATGCATGAGGCTTCATTATCTGTTATACCTTTAAGTTCACACGTAGGCTTGTTTATCCAAGTCCCGTTATCGGAACATGTCATTGTTGTTGTTGAAATCCCAGTGGTTTGATTTTGCTTCTTGTTATAATAACCTTCTTTACAATCAACATCTGCTGTAGAGTTGTACATTGTGTCATTGTTTAGACGTGCAGGTAAAGTTATGTAATTTAGACCCAGACATGCAATGTTCTTGCAGTCTACAATTATAGAAGAAAATCAGTTATTACAATAAAAGAAACATATAGCCAGCCGTAAGCTAAGTGTAAAACTTGTGTACACCAAATTAAAACAACTTATTTCAAATATAATTACATTCCATTTTCTGTGATGCACACAACAAACAACAGTCATTGGTGTGTTTAAATGTTTAATCTGTATGGGTTGTTTTCTAATTCATTGTATTACATTTCGTTCAATTAAGTCTCTACGGCCACAACATGCAAAATATCATCATTATATATTTTTCAGCCCTAAAATTTAATTTTGATACATAACATCTTCCATTACAGAAATGCAATCAACATGTCTAAAATTATTGCTCAGTATAGTAAATAGAAATAAAATCCCTTAAGAAAGTCCAGAAAGGCCAAAATGAAATGGCTTCAGACTCGGTTTGATTGAGTCTGTACATGGACGGTACTTAAAAATGTAAGATACCGTCGACGTCCCTAGCATCAGCAGAATTCAACATTAAAATTTAACATAAAAAGATAAAAATTTGAATTTGGGAACTTCCGCCGAAGTCCCTGAAGGAAATCAATGCGTACAATTTCTTGCTTAGATTCCCTCGTAGAGAACCTTCATATCGCAGAAAAATATACATCTATATAGACATCTTTATTTCATCCTTTAATCTACTTGTATGGCTCTTAGAATCTTTACAGATTAACAAAAAAGAAAGAATAGCTAACAACAGTATAGAGTCTCATTAAAGTTTACTTAGTTGTAAGTTATCCTGACTCATTACTAATGTCAAAGATTAATATATTCTAAAATCAGTAAGCTTATTCTTAAACACTCTTTCATGTGTAGAAAGGTAAGCTTTTTGTGATAACGTGATCATCGCTGAAGGATGAACAAAATTAGTTTCTGCGACTGGTATTATTCAAACCAGTGGTCTTAATAGAAAGGCCCAATATGTGTGTAAATAAGGGGATTAAACATAGCTGACAGTGCATACATGATTTTAGTGTTTACATTAAGAACTGAATTTATAAAAAAATTGTAACGTTGTGCTGAACATTACATGTCACGTTAATTCTTAAAAAGTTTAATAAAACTAAAAGACAAAAAAAATGCTGTGAACCTTTGCGTTTGCAGTTTGGTATGTCTGTCCATTCCCCCGTTTCAGAACATGTAATTTTTGTTGTTGAAATTCCCTTTGTCTGATTACGGTGGTAGTATCCTACATCGCAATCAACTTCCGCTACATCTCCGAAATAAGTACCATTTACATTTCGCCTTACTGCTGCATTGTCTATGCTTAAATTGTGTATGTCTCCACAATCTAAGGAACAAATAAGTTTTGAATTCAATACAAAATTAGATGCCGACTTAAAAACATTAATTACATCCTGCAATTGATATATTGGTGTAAAAATTGGTTGATAATACTGATATTCACAAATGTTTTTGGTAAACATATACTTGTTTATAATATGATTTATAGATAGCTTTGAAATGCCTTTTCCCTGATTAGTTAAGAAGAGTCTTGCTTTCAAAATAAATAAACTGTTTTTCTCTACAAATAGATTTTAGAAAATCTGCCAACATACGTATAGATATTAAATTACTTATTAATTTATGTTCATGAAAACTTAAATTAATTTAAAATATTTTCGAATAGGATCCAGTAAATGTTTGGAAATAGTTAACAAACTGAGTGGATGTCCACTTGTGTTGTGTTCGTAGACATATTTTATCAAAACACCATCCATTTATTATAAATTAGTAACTGGCTTTTAAGTTTACAAATAATGTGACATGTACTAAATCAAATGATATTGACCAAGGCGATTTGGAATTATGATAGGCGTTTCTTTGTCATTTTTTAGGTCATAGTTTGTATTTCATCGTATTTAAACTTATCGTACATTTGTAACATTTCGTGCGGTATGCATTGAATTTCAACGCCTTTTTATGCACAACCTTTTCAATATCAAAATATGGGTATTTTTATCAATTTCGAAAGAAAACACAGCCCTGCTTTAAATCATTGTCTCGCGTAAAATAATGATAAATTATCTTATACGAGTATATTAAGAGATAATAAAATTTCTACGGAACTGTTTGATAATCATTTTTTATATCTACACTCTCACAAAAACAAAATGAAGCATAATTCTGTATAACCCTATCGACAATAAAAATGCAAAAAGATATTCCGTATAGTTTACCTTTCTTAACACATGTAGGGAGTTTCTCCCAGGTTCCATTCTCTTCACATTTTACCACAGTGGATGATATGTCTTTTGTCTGAGCTTGGTTTTTAACAGTGAATCCCTCGTTACAAGATATATTAGCTGATGATTCGTATTTCGTATCATTTAGAAAATATATCTCGTTTGCATTTGAAATGTTTGACAAGGTTATGTTCCCGCAATCTAGATAAAACAGATTAAAAATCACTGTAATCATATCAATATAAATGGTACAAGCATATAAGCTATTCTTTTTTGTTCTTTGAAAGAAAACTATAAGATAAGATGAATTGAATTGTTACTTGTGATTTTTTTAATCTTTAAGTATAATGCTAACAGTTTCGATAAATACAAGGGTACATTGAACGCGACATAAAATCTTGTAAATAATAGATACATGTTAATAAGATGTAGAAAAAAAGTTACAGGTAAACGTTATTTGTTAAAACCTTGAATCAATATCATGTTTTTTTCCATGATCAATGTAACTAACACTTGATGACATTATGCTATTTTTTATTGTCGGGTTGAGGTGAATTTACTTTGTATTAAAAAAAGATAGAAAATTATAATGATCATTGACCAATATTTGGCAATGAAATATGTAAGGATAAAATATAACAACTGCCTTAAATATAAAAAGACATCACCACACTTGTTATCAACTGAACGTTTAACGATACATGCCAATGGATATTTATCGAATTAAATTCGGGTTTTGTGGGTTACTGATTATACATATAAAATGGAATACAATTATGACAAAATCTAAATCTGGTTTGACTTTGACCCAAACCTTAGATGGAAGTAACGTTGCTTTAATAATGAAAAATATTGATTAGTTGATAAAGTAATATAGTTTCTTTACTGTGGAAGAATAAAATAAAGATTTAGATTAAAACAAAAATGAAACACCATACAGTTTCATTGGTATACGACAAATATATTTTAAATATCGACCCACCTTTTCTTACACAGCTTGTTACATTTTTCCAAGATCTGTCAGATGCACACGACATATTAAAGTGATTCTGGCTGTTATTTCCTCCAGGAACAACATGTCCAACTTCACAAGTGGCAGTCGCGATTGACATAAATTTTGTATTTGGCAAATATACAACTGATTGTATATAATGGGTGTCTAAATTTGTCACATTTGCACAATCTGAAGAAAACAATATATATAACTGCAACAATTATAGTATTTGATTGTTTGAAACAGGAATGGCATTGCCGAAAGTAAAATTAGTTTGTGTTACTGTGTGTTACTTTATATACATTATTTTATTTTATCTACACGGAACAACGGATGACATATGTCAGAACCTTTTTATAACTGCCGGTAGATTTGTCCTTTGGACTTTTTATTTGCAATTTATAAACTTGTTTATAAGCACTTGTATTAGTTCCCAGATAAGTAAAAGAATAGTTGTGAAAAAGTTGAATAGTTGTTCACTTTAAAATATCATAAATAAACTTAAACAAAAATGTACGCAAAGGTATAGAAAAAACAAACAAAAAATCTAACCAACTGGAACGCAGTCAAGTTTATGTTTCCAATCTCCGTCGGATGAACAAGACATGTTGAAAACAGTCTGGTTGTAATTGTTAGATACCACGTAGCCCTCTTTGCAAGTGACTGTTGCTTTGGATCCATATCTGTTACCGTCTGCTGTCCGATTCCTTGTGTTATTTATAGGAACTGACTTAATGTCTTTACAATCTGAAATAATAAAATTTAATCATGATTAAAAGACTATTGTAAGAGTAAATTGCAATATTTAACGCATTAGCAACGTTCGGAATAACACATTATCATTAAACATGCAATCTTTACTACTGTTCGATTAAAACGCCCTTACCGTTTGACAGTTCACTGAACGCCGCCCTTCCAAATTTAATACAACACGTCTGTAGGTAAGCACTTTTAGTAGTTACTTGCACGTCTAACGTTTTCAAGTTCCCGACATTGTACATGTATGCAAATCCTGATATTCGGATATTCAAAGTACGCATGCTCTGTTCCCGCTGGTACCAAGCTTCGCTCAATCTTTACTATGCGAAAAGGGGTACGCATCAGGTATATCAGGGTCAGCATTTGTATTTATGTTATGTTAGGAAATTTAAAAAGTTAGCGCAAATAATTACTGACAGTGATTAATTCCATCAATGTTTCTTAATGTTTCATTTATGATAATATGATAAAATCTTTAGCTATACAGTTGCTGGCGTGTTAAACGGAAGAAAATTCAAACTAAATGAGAAACAATATGACCGAGGCGCAAGTAGACGGCTTTTTTATAATTATAATTTAGCAGGGCAATTTTCGCCAATGAATTTATTATAATGCATTTTTTTAACGACAATAAGAAAACGACGTAAGAAAATCAGATTTAAAAAAATTAGATTTTTTTTCAAAGGAGCGCGAGAAAAGGTGCATGTAAATTAAGATAACGCCAGACGATTACGCAAATGTTGCGCAAAAAATGTAGTTCAAATATAAAGCCACAATTGTGGTGAAACGTTTAATATGTCTTTTAAGTCAGGACATTTGTACAGAGAAAAACGTCGTAAAATGCAATTTACAAAAACATTCACACACATTATTAACCGGTTGCGGTACTGATATGCATGGTTATTAGCTTGCGATTCGGTTTTCCAAGGGATATACCCTGGTGCCCTTTCGTGCCTGAAATAATGCATGGAATGCAACTGAGGTCTTCATCCATCATTTAAGCACATCACAATTTTCCGTGTCTTTAGTCTGTCTTTGGATAAGAACCAGGAACACACTAGTATAAATACAAAGAACAGACACAGTATTTCGGTCTAGTCTACGCTAAGAAACTTAAAATGTAAACAAATGGTTATTAAATGCTGGGAGTTGTTGATGAGTTTTTTTTTTACAAATTTATCATGTAAAAGTCCGCCTGATATAATTGAATTCATAGAAATAAAAGTAAACAATACTTCAAGCACATAAATTCACAAGATAATAGAAATCATAGAAATCATACGGGTTGTCATTCTTGCAAAAAAGGAAACAATCAACAAAACATTTGATCATCGTCTGGTGGTTCGGGCTGATTTGTTTAACTGAATGACAGATGTTGCAGAGATACCATATCTCCGTTTCTTTTCATTAGAGACCAGGAATAGGTTATACAGTCATAAAGACGTTAATGTGTTTGCTTTTCGTCGCTATTTGGTATGATAGCCGTGGAATACATAACGACATTCGGGTTAGTGACCCTTTGTGGCATCTGTGAACATTGTCGCATTATCGCAAATGGCTACAGCAACCAAGTAATAACTTTTATTATAAACTACAAGTGTCGTTCCTACAAAATCAGTCATTTATCTTTGTCACAGTCTCTTTTTGACTTTCATGTGCCTTTTATTGATCCTGTACATGTGCCTTTAATAGATTCTGTATTCAAAGTTAGGACACAAATGGACCTATTGCAACTATGATATATGTATATGTATATATTTACCTTTTAAACAATTTGGTATCGATTCTAACCAAATGCCGTTGCTACATGTCCTTGTAAGGCTTCCATTGATCAAGGAATATTCATCATTACAATTGTAATTCAACTTAAACTGATCCCCTTCCCATGATAATGTCATTTTAGCATTTTTCGGTTGTGAAGATGGGATGACACAAGCTAAAATAAACCAAACAATCATTTTATAATACGATCTTGGAAGCTATGGATCGGCACTAACTTTGCAAAATAAAATTAAATGTTTTAACGTTATAACGTTAGGAATATAATAAACAAAATAGACCCGATCCTAACGATTTAAAAAGACACAACAACAAAAAATGGAAACTCAGAATAGCATTGATATGAAAGTAAGACAATAGGCAATTAATCTTTATAACTAAATAAGTCATAAACAATAGTGAGGTTTGCTATTTCGCCCTTAGGTGTCATTGTGGGGTGCATATATATGAAATTTCACGTCTGAATAGTAGCATTTTTATTGGATAATAATCTACTGTACACGGAAATACAGCTGCAATCAAATAACGTCAATGTACGTAAGCCTCCGTGAATTATAAAAATATGTATTTTTGTTATTTTATAGATAATTAATATAGATAATTGACATATACTTGAATATCGATAAACGGTTTTGCAATATCACCGCTGAAGAGCGTATCGGATTAAAGTAACTTATGATCGTTTATGTTGTGCCATTAATCCTGTCAGGCATCTTAATAACTAATGATATGTTTGGTAAATACATAATTAATGTTTTATAAGATATGTTATAAACCTAGGTGAAAGTATAAACAAACCGTTGCATAGACCGCAATGTTTACGACAGGAGACCATAGCAAACTGTCTGTCTGACGAAGTATTACATAGCTTGTGATGATCATATAAGTCACAATCTTCAACTGTATCATTGCAATTGGCCTCATCTAGAAAATAAAACATATAGCTGGCAGAAAATAAACAACAGTAGCATATATTACTCATTTATATAGTTGGTGTCTCGTATCTAAAATATAGTTTGCATTTAAAACACTTCTTCGAAAAGGAATATTAATCCTTTGAATTGAATACATTTTTCATAATATAGAAAAAGTTAAATATGTGTTTGATATTGTTGTTATAATTAATTTAAATCACATGAGAAGCTTATCACCTAAAAAATATCGGTGAATGTTAATTTATTTGTCAAATAGACCTGAAATATATTTTCAAAGCTTTGTTACATAACAAACAAAACTTAATCTGTTTCTCAAGTTCTATTTGCGGTAATTTACAATTCTAACAGGTTTCACCCCATTTCCCTATCAAACACATAAGGCAATCAAGTCCATTATTACACAAGATATGCACAGCATAAAAAACAAATGCTTGCACGTCATATGCCATCATATATGATGTTATGCCATCATATATGATGTCAAGAAACCAAAAGACGTCAGGAAAATTACTTCTACGCAAAATGTAGGTCAGCATATTTTTTATTAATTCTTTATTTATTAGCAATCTAAAATGGATAACTAAATTAAACATTAAAATTTTGGTATTTCGTTGATAGTAAATAGATTTAAAACACTTCTTGGTAAAATAAAATGAATACAAGTTTAACTTAATATGTCTTTATTAAAGAATATAATTATAAATTCCATTCAATATGTTTATGTATAGATTTTTTCTCTTGAGATATGTCTGCTATGTAAACATGTACATTTAATTATGTTTAAACAGTTTATCCTCAACACTGTAATATCATTTTTTGTTAATTTGAAATAACATTCTAAAATAATAACTAAAGTAACGTGACATTGTCTTTAAAGTTTGTTTTAATACATTGGAAATTAGTATTGAAAATGTATTGTAGTATATTGCAATGTATTATCACACTATGTATGATTATGATTATGTACTATGTACAAGTCGAAATAAAATAATGTTCTGTTCTGTTCTGTTTATATTGTAGAAAAGGGTAATCATGTGTTTAATAATGTTGTAGTAATGAATTGTGAACATACATTAAGCTAATCAACTGGAAAAAATATGCTAAATATTAAATTATTTGTCATTAAGATAGCAACTTGTAAGAAAAGTGGTATTTTGACTTCCATATTTTTGTAAACTTTATTCTTAATAATCACTATAACTTTAATAATTGCCAAAATATTAAAGAAAAGATGTCTCAACCAGATATCTTTTTGTAAACTGAAACATTACACCAAAAATAAAATGTATTCACATTTATACTTAATCGGCCTATATGCTCATTTTAATAATGCTTTTTGAAAACGGACCCTAAATAATCAATAAGCTAAGCTAATATTCTGAATTTAACTCTTTTTCAGTATTTAAATAGTCAGCTCATATAGCAGGTCTTAATAATGGGATGGTTAAAAACACGAAAAACCTTTTTATCTATTCTATTATATCTATGCACATTAGCCTCCAAAGATACGACAAAATAAAATCATACCTTCGTCTATAGACATCGGTATTTCGGAACATTTTGCCGTCCATGTAAAGAAAAGCATGAATATTGCCACTTTTAGTACGATTTTTAATTCCATCACTATTTAATTTGGTTTACATATCTGTATAAAAGGTAGACTTTTTAAGAAACCGATTGAACCTTAACTTAAGTGCGCAGACACAATTCTCTTTATAGAGAAGTTAGTAACAGCGTTTATAATAAAATATCTTTTTGTCTGATTTATGTCAATTACAGAGATATTGCATTAAACAGCAGTCATGTTTATCAGCTTATCAGAACAAGAATAATACAGTAGATTTGGTGGTTAAATATTTCCAGAGATAAAACCTTTTGAATGCCACCTACCTCATTGAATTGCTTGTAAAACAAACACTCTTTCATGTTTGCATTTTGATTTGATTTTTCAAAATACCTACAAATATCAACTGTGTATACATGCGTCAAACAAAAATTGAAACATTTAATGCTTGAACAAAAGTATGAATGATAAATTTGCATAAAATTAAGCCACGGGTATACAGTGTTTATTGTATGAATAGAGTTCAATGTGAAAAACAAATCTATAACCATTATGACTAAGGTAACAGGTGAATTTTTAATATATATTATGTTTTCAATGATGTTTGTGATCACACATAATTGGTGCTTTTTATATTTTATAATTTCGATTATGTTCATTAGTCTTGTTGATAACAAGTTAAAGTTAAAATGTATCAAATAACATATATATATTACTCATATTTTTATATGAAATGTCATTGTCTACGGTCCGTTAAATGTTTGCGGGTTGACATTAAAGTGATTTAAGTGATTGGACACTTAAATGCCACGAGACCGTGTGTGATGTATAGTGGACCATCAGTCTATAAATAGATTTACAGGCCCAATAAAAGTTATAATGACTGAGGACGAAAGTATGAGGCCGATATAACTTTTATTATGTCAGACGTCAAAGCTAATTAACTTATCAGAACGGCGCTTAGTTAAACGGTATACGATATCCAAAAATTTATACTTTAAAAAATGCAATGTATGAAAAGACCTTGGTATAAAATGTGTTCATATTTTTCAAAGATGTATTAAATAACAACCAAAAATTAATCTGTTTCCCGAGTTCTATTGACAATAAATAACAATTCTAACAGGGATTTACATCTTTCCCTGTCAAACACTTAGGGCACTCAAGCTCATTACCACACAATTGGGCCTGCATGCCATATGACGTCATTTATGATGTTTATAAACAAAATGACGTTAGGAAAATTACTTCTACACTCAATGTTGTTCAAGAGATTTTTGAAAAAGAATCTTTATTTTTAGTGGATGTTAGAATGGAAAAGGATATCACTTTTAGTAATGATTAATAATTAATCACTTAGGAAAGTCTGGTTTCATGAAAAGTCCCTGCGCATTTGCCCTATTCTTTAACAATGTACTCGAAAATGATATCTATTTCCTATTCAAATAAAACGATATATTAATGGAAGTACAAATGTGCATTTTAATAAACTTTAAACGAATGATAAATATTACAAAATTCGACAGTAAACAATTTCTAATATTTCATCATTTTGTTATATTTTTTACAATTTTATGCACGTAAATCACTGATATTTATTTACCAACCTATCCCTAAACAAGTAATGCAAAACAATTAAGAAATATAAACATATAAACCGATCTTACTTAGTACACACAGTCTGGGAAAAAAGATTGTTTAAATTAATCTGTTTCATATTATGTAATTCATGTAGGAATACTTATTAATAGATTTAAGTTTATAATAGATAAAACGGGAATATGTTAGCTGCTCAAATTAATTGAAATTGCCAAAAAGTACATAATCTTTTCTGACCTGAATACTAAATTATAAATTTAAAAAAAAATTAAATATGGAAAAAAAGAAAATCTCACTTTAACATTTACTTGTCAGCATAAAGAGAAAGTACTGCAATTATTTCTCACAATCGTTTGTCTCATTTTTCTTTACAAATGTTTTATTCAGTGAACGACCATGTGCACCGTTCTCATTTCCTTTTTACCAATTCATTTAACATTTTTTGTATGTAGCATTATTGTTTCATTCATGCATGCCAGTACATCTGGCCTTTCTATATAATAGTAATTTGATCAGTGTTAGCTTATTTCGATATCTACGTACATGTTGATTTAAGCTAAAAATGTCTCCCAAGATACCAATGGCACTTAACATGACAAAGGATAAATATGTAACTCTTGATTTATAACAATTACGCATTGTTTTCAGAATCGTCACAGTGGCATATATTTTCAAGTGGTTGATAATTCAATGTTGAGATTATCATATCTTGGCAGGGCTGATAAGTTTGCAAATAAAATAAAAAAACACCATCAATTCTTAAGTACGATAATCGTAAAGTAGTGAGTGATATGTTCAATACCTCTTGAAATAATTTATAAACTGTGTGTATTTGTTTGTATTACTAAATTAAATCTAATCAAAGATAAAATGTGCATTTTTTAAATAAATACATTAATCAAAATGATTAAGAAGGCATTATAAGGGTTTTAATATTTTATAAATTGGCAATACTATTCATCGTTTCAAGACGATATTTTAAAATTGCACCTCATTAAAAGTATTTTAATGTAATTGTTTTTTAGATGTTCATTCACATATCTCTCAGAATAATCGTGACGATAATAAAGCACTTGCATTATTTGGCGATTGAAAGTACATGTATAAATGTCAAGGGGAGCGGTAGCCTGGGGATTCATGTTTCTCACTCTCAATTCAGAGACTATGGGTTTGATCCCTCAGACCAAAACTATGTTTTCTCGTGCATATGATACCGTGGCGAATTATGCACAGGTAAAGATCCTGTATGGTTGTTAACCATTAATAAGTGAAATTTTACATATATACATATTATGCTTCTAAAACAATTTTCAAACATCGAAGAATATGTCAAATAATTAATATGTACTGCAAATATTTGTTCACATTATATGTTATCATTATAATATATGCATTCATTTTGTATTGAAACATTTCACTTAGACTGACTTTATTGAAAATAAATTTCTTATTACTTCCCTTTATGAACATGAAAATGTAAATTCGGTAATATCTTTACAATTAATGGAACTTACAGTATTGATTGATCTTCATTTGAACATAATATTTATGATATAAACCATTAAAAAATAAATAACAGGATCTTTAACGTTGTTAATAAATAAATAAATAAATAAATAAATAAATAAATAAATAAATAAATGCATTTACAACATAAATATTCTCATTCATTACCTTTTTTGTAACTGTAGAACTGTAGTATTTTAAAACTTATTATCATTAATCTGCATGTTCATTTGAAGTATTATTTCATATTTAAAACTAATACATTTATTTTAACATTTCTTTAGATTTAATATGTAAAATTTTAATTTGAAAGTGTTGATAAATTGTGAGTATTGAACCGAATTAAAAAACAAAAAAGATTCCCGGTTTAATGAAAATATAACCTGGAAACAAAAGACGCCGATTAAATATAAATTATGTCATCGTGTTTCCGTGATTCTTTTTTCAATTTTCTTACCTTATTCATGTTCTGTACCCTAGTTGGTATCACTGCATTATATTTCATCATTTTAGGGTGCATACGTTTATTGCCGAAGTAGAACCATGTGTAGGACTTTTGGCAGATATATTTCCCTTCCTTGGCTTTACTTTCAATTTGTCGATATATTAAGATGCATATTGTCCTCGTAAAACTGTTCTTTGCGTTTAACTGATTGACAGAAAAAATCACCGTAGGGAACGTGTTTCAGTATCGCGCTTTTCGGTTAAACTTACACAACGTTAGTTCCTTGTGCTAAGAATATTTTATTAAAGGAAATGACCATTTGAACCTAATGTCCTGTTTGTCAAAAGCGTTTGAAAAAATAAACACTGTTATACTGTAGATCTTTTGCAGTGTTACAGTATAGACAATGCGACTTTGATCCAATGTTGTTACAGTTTACAACATTCGCCGGGTAGCACTGTGAAGAAAGCATTCACTTTCTTTGTTAAATCATGGTGCTGACGTCATTACTTGTTAGGTAAAGACTATTTTGTCATCATTCATTTAAAGGAGTGTTCATCCTGTATCGTGTTTCTAAAACGGAGAATAATATAAAAGATATAGAGCATAAATTAAGTCAGACAATTGCTCCGATCCCCTTTTAAAATCCCATTTTATTTAGGCATGGACCAAGGTGGTAGCTTGCAGTAACCACTACTGACAATGAACAGACGCTTGGTCTATTCTGCAACCTTGCGAAATTCTATTCGTTCAAAACTGTTTCCAAATGCATTTGGGGAACAAGAAAATATGTTCAACTGGTAATTAACTTTTATAAATCTTACTAAACAAAATGGACTTACGTTTTGTAAGGTAATTTTGTACGCATAATGTCTGAATGGGAAAGAAGCGTTTGGCTCTCAATTCAAATATTTTTTAAAACGTCAAATCTGCACATTTATGAGCCAATATAGAGATGATACTGCTGTGCAGGGGCTGAGGAAATATATGACTAGATGCAGAACCCAGTTCCTAACTCGCAAAGTACAAGCAACTATTTGTATTATGGTCACACACCTGTTAAGTGTTTACCTAACAAATAATCCTTCATCTTTAAATGTCTATACTGTAACATGAAAGCGCGATACTTTATTACGTTCCCTACGGTAAAGATGTCATACATACATGGTGGATGCTTCTAAATTTTAACGTTTCTATATCGTTCTGCTAAATTCTTTTCTTTAGAGATGTGCATTTAAAATGGCATAAACCTAAGTGTGTTGATCAATTAAGTGCTAAGTGAAACCAATCATGCCATATTTTCGTATTTGTTGTCAAGGGCAACTACTGAAGTGTAAGTATTGACTCTTTTGTAAGGTTATTTAAAGAAAACTAAACCTAAATAATTAAAATTTTCTGTTTAGGTTTCGTATTGACATCAGATGGTTCATTTTGGAACGTAATATCAAAATTGCCGCCAAACATTAAAATTCATGTTCATGTTCTGTGAATAACCTTTAAAAAATCTATTTATTCCTAAAACTAATGTATCCTATACAAAACGGCCTTCATGGCATACTGGATGCCGGTGTAACGTCAACTGACCCCAATAAAATAATGACCCCCGCGGTTATACCTGTTAATTGTTACAAAATACCTTATCAACTACAGAAAGACGATAGCCTATAATAGCTGAATTGCATAAATGTAGGCAAAATATGAAGAAAGAAAAAAGGAAGAGTGTGCCTCCTCTAAGCTTTAAACGAAACCTTTGTTCTCACTGAAAATGAACCCTCTTTCAGATAGGAGAATTTGCATTCAGCATTAATCCTTAAATACTTTGAATTTCATTTTAATACGATGTTTGCTTGTTTTTAGCGGAATCTCGTTGTTTTTGCCAGCTGTTGTCGTGGCAGTAGCAGCATTTGTACTAGAAGCAGCAGCAGGCACAACAACAACAGCAACAAGAATACGCAATTGCACTGCACCTGTCATCAATACTTTCGGATGAATATTTCGCTCTGTCATCGTCAGTGTGATTTAATGCTAATTTTATGTTGATTTTCAAAAATAAATGGTAGTCGAACAACCAAATATGTCCAGATGAAGGTAAAAGCCCTATCAAGGAGACAATATATAGACTTTGTGGGTTACAATAAAACTAATATCCCGTTGAAAATACTGCCGGTTGGGTAAAATGATTTTACGAGCGATGATATTGTTACTGATACTCACAAACCTATGTGTCATTTATTGTATTTACCCGAATAATGATGATAATGATCGGATATTTTCAATAAAATTAACTTTTAACAAAATTGAACAAAGAGTAACATTATATATGCAAGTTGTAATGATACTTGAGAAATTGTTTTCTAGTTCACCTTCAGCAAAATTAATGATGAAATATATCAGTCATACACATTCGTTAAACTGTGATTCATTTAGAATTCAAAACACTAGCCAATTTATATGATCCGTGAAATTTGACTCAAATATGATTTTTTGACAATGAGCAATTACAATATCCTATATCTGAAAGTAGATTTGTGTGTTTCAATGATTAAATAATCCTTTGCTTTGTGTTTTGATCATCTGCTTGTTCTATTTTTACATGCATATCCCCATGCATTAACTTCCCAAGAAAACGAATATTTATCTTTTGACTATTCAACCACACGAAAGACACCCTAGATTGCAAACATCTGAATTCCCTGTTGATTACCCTACGTAGTGAACTTCGAAACATTATTGATTGATTGATTGATTTTTCTTTAGAGCGGACGGTCAAGGATAACCGCGAAAGTGTAAGCACATATTTCAAGTAACTAAAGGTGCTTACCTCAGCAGACTCTAAAGTGTCTCTGAAAAAACCCTAGGGTGTTACCTAGGGTCGAACCCGGAACCTCAGGAGTGACAGTCAGTAGTCTAACCAACTGAGCTACAGGCAGAGTCGAGAGTAATAATGTCTTCCATTTTATTCTTTAAAAACATACCACGGGACTAATGTAAAAAAGTACTGTTACCTATGTAAAATAATATATTTTTGTCACGTGGTACACTTGCATTAAAGCAAGGAAAAGTCCCAGTGACATTTTGGAGATAAGCATTTACAAAAAAGTGAGGGGTAATACTACCGTTAAGAACGCTTGAAAGATTCATGTTTCGACGATATTATGATTTCATTGAATCTCATTACGCATTATTAAATCTTTGGTTGTCCTTCTATGTGTGTTATGTTTGATGTTTTATTATCCTAAAAAATAACAATATTTGACATTGACGACATTTTATTTATAAGTATTCAGAAAAATTTGCAAGAAAATGAAAATCAGTAATTAAAAATGATCGAAATAAAATGTAGTTTGTAAATATGGTAAAAACCATTTGGACCTCCATTTGGATCCATAACATTGAATACATACACTTTGAATTTATAAATAGATCATGTATTACAGTAACACTCGAAGTTTTGCAAAAAGATAAATGCAATACAATTATAAAATCTTAATTGTAACTTGTGTTATTTTGGTCATGGATAGAGTGGAGGCGTGTAAACTCTTTATCATTTTTTTCGTCAACATACACAACACAAATGATTATTGTAAAAATAAAGTTGTGAATGATTTGAATTTTAGTTCGTGTATTTTTATGCATACGTACGTCAAAAGTTTCACATAATAATAAAAAACAAGCAATTATCATAGTATTGCAAGCAATCCATAAGTCCCCTACCGGTTAGAACCCAAGCAACATTCTGATGGGCCATTGGCCAATTAATTTTGCCAGTGAATGAATGACATGAATGAGCTTAAATCTTTTTAGTTCTATACCACAGTAATGTGTTAAGTTTCCCTGCTTAGTAAGGAAATTATTTTTATACAACCTTGTCATATTATCACGATGTGGGATTTTTAAAGTAAAACCTAGAAGGAATGAAGAAGTTGGAGTGAAAAATACCAATTTTTCGAAAAAGATCTAAGTTCAACGGGGACATAATTCTGGAAATAGTCTTGCTAGAGTTTTTAACATTCTCAAAAATGATGAGTTATAATAAGAAAAATATATATGAAGTTTGAAGAAGATACATTAGGAAAAAAAAAGTTATTTAAAAAAGACATTATTTTTCATAAAAATTCAAGGGAGGTAATACTGATAATTTCTGTGCTAGAGTTGTAAACCTTGTCACATATGATGTGGTTTATGACCAGAATCTTATATTTAAAGTTTGAAGTAAACACCTTAAGAAATAAAGAACTTATAGTGAAAAAGCTGAAAAATTTAAATCAGGAAACTTGAAATTCAGGCTACTTGTTGCCATAGCAACAAGATTTTTCAACATAGGAAGAAAAAAGATGTGCATAATCTAAAGACTGCTATCTATCCATATTTCAAGTTTCATAAAAAATATTTTCAGTACTTTTTGCGTTATCACTGGATCCAGTTTATGTGTTAAATTTGCCGACTTTTTGTTGCCATAGCAGCCAAAATTTTCAACATAGGACAAAAAAAGACGTGCATAATTTCCATAATGCCATCTACCCATATATCAAGTTTCATAAAAATATTTTCAGCACTTTTTGCGTTATGGCGGGATCCAGTTTTGTGGACGGACGGACTGACGGACTGGCAGACAGACGGACGGACTGACAGACAGACAGACGGACGTACCAATTTTTCATGTTTATGAGCTATTTCTATTGTTCTTTTCTTTTGTTTCCTTGTGAGCTAATTATTGTTTCCTTATAATATAACTATTATTACGGAATGAAGTCCTTTGTTCTTTTGTTCCAGTGTACCGTTAGTTAGCTCATATACCTAAAATGTTTGTGCGGACAGACAGACGTACGGACAGACGGGAGGAGGGTTAACCTAAAGTCCCCAACGGTCAAACTGGTAGGGGACTAAAAACGTTTATTTCTAGTCCTACTATAGTGTCTAAAAATATCTGAAAAGTATCTTACAGATATGAAATTCCAATACTACTAGGAATGCACTTTCTTTATTAATCCAAAAACAACTAGTAAGAAAAGAACAATTATACACTTTTAATACACAGACAAAAACAAAATTGTTTAGAAAGAAGTATATTTGATCCACATTTTGAAGGTTTTAGAAGTTTTCATGATATGCAAACATGTGTTTCATTTTTTCTCAAATTTCTAGTTTTATCTCCCCTCAGTCTTTCCACAATAACAAAATGAAAACATCATATCAACGAATATTGTTTTTGTTAGTTAATTATCTTTATGAATACAAGTACAACAATCATCATAAACGAAACGCTTGAATATGATTTACAAGCACCACTATTCCAGAAACCAAAAAGTGAACGCTTGTGCCTGCTAATGGGTTCGTCCGCAGGTTGAAATCTTGAACAGTCATCAGGCGGATTCATTTCATAAAATAGATGGCACTGGTGTCTGTCAGTCTTTGGGTCGCAGCACATGTAGAAATATTGCATAATATTGTAAGGGTCTGGCTCGAAAGTTGCAAAACCACCTCCTGTAAAATCCTTCTTCAAAGCTCCATAACTAAAAACAATAAAAAAGAATAAAATAAAAAGCTAGAAAAGAAACCTGAATACTTGTAGATCTATCACACATGTTTATGGCCTTGTATTAAATATATTTCTGCATGTTTGCTTACAAACTGAAGAACATTAATGCTTGCTAGTTTGTTATTAAACGCTGATAACTGTGGTTCTCTGAGAACAAAACGCGCTCAGTACGACAGTACGATGGTGTCAGTAGGCCAGTTTGGTGGTGAAGCGAAGTTAAAATACATTTATATTTGAATAGATGTTTGTTTAAGACACGTGAAAAACTTCTTTGAAAGAAATCGAAAAGAACCAAAAAGGGTATAGTATAACAGTTAAGCGAAATAATCATAATCAACATACATACACGAGAATAAAACTATTGGTTCGAACGGGTCTATTACTAGTTATTTTTCGAACAAGCAATTTTCAAAAAAAAATGCAATCAGTGCAAAAGTCCCCTACCGATTAGAACCCCAGCGACATGTGTAAATGCCATTTGGAAAACAGGAATGGACTTAAATGTTTTAAGTTCTTAGTTTGTCTGTATCAAAGTATTGTGTTATGTTTTCCTGCCTAATAAGGTAATTATGTTTATAAAGCAGATAATCATCAGATCCAAATTTCTCAGGTTAAATGTGTATTCTCTATTGTAAGTAGATTTTTAGAAAATTTTCAAGTTCTTTAAATGTAAACGGACAGACAAAATGACTGACAGACAGATGAAAAAACCCTCGTACTAACTAGAGTAAAACATTTGTAAAATCAAAATTATTTAACAAAGAGGAGATAACTCTTGAAATAAAGATGCAATTTTTATGAACATTGTCATTTATTATGAAAGATGTCAAAAGAGATGACAGAAAACAATTATCTGAAGACTAAGGTAGATAAAATTTATGGTAACAAAGAAGACAAGGGAGACACATATAATAGCTTTCAAATAAAGTTCAAAACAAAAATTATCGCAAGACTTATAAATCTAATCACAAAGCATAATGGCCCCTGATAATGACTGTATATTTAATTGTATAGGTAAATTCATGAAGAAATAAGAAAGTTAAAAAATAAATAAGATAAAATAAGAGTTTAATTGAATATAATTCTGGATATATGGACGCTAGATTTTTAAACGTCGTTGTAATATTATGATGTAAAAGTTTGAAGTAAATTTTTTACGAAATGGGGAGAAAATAATATACAGAAATAAGATCAAGGGGCACATAATTCTTGACATAGTCATGCTGAATCTTTTCACGTATGATTTGAGTTAAACTTGAAATTTGAAGTTGAGACAAGGCTTGTAATTCTAGAAATATTGGTGTTGTGAACCTTGCAACATATGATGTGGGTGATGTAATACGAAACAATTATTAAAGATTGAAGTAAAAACATTAAAATAAAGAAGTTATAAAATAAGGACATCATTTTTGCATGGACATTCTTAGGTCAATAGGTAGGGTTATTCTTATGGTTTTGAGTTATCACAAATATTGTTTATTTGTCATACTAAAATAATATTTGTTGCAATAGGAATGAAGTATTTTTTAACATAGAAAAAAGACGTGCATTATCTCTGCCATCTAGAAATAATAATTATGTTTTATAAAATATATTTTCAGTACTTTTTTGCGTTATCAGAGGATCCAGTTTTTGTATTAGATTTGCGATAGCCGACGTCTTTTTGTTGCCATAGCAACCAAATATTTCATTATAAGAAATAAATAAAAAGACGCGCATAATCTCCAGACCACCATCTACAAATATTACAAGTTTCATAGAAAATATTTCACTTTTTTTTTGCGCTATCACAGTATAAATTGTAAATACATAGTGTCGTTTAAGAACTGACGGTTTCTTTAAGAACAGACAAAATTGAACTGACGAGTTATAGCACATGCAGCTTTCTAAACATGGTTTTGTGCAATCTTTTATTTAAATCAAACATATTCAGTAAGAATCTCTTATAATTAAATAAATTTTAATTTTAACCATATGCCTGAATCGAAGACTACCCTGAAAAAGCAAGCTCGAGTGTCAAATGACGTCAAAAATAAGAAGCATAAGTGTTTATACAGTTTTTCCGTGGCATTTGCGTCTCCGTGATATTTTGCATTTCCGAGCTATTTTGCGTTTCCGTATTATTTATTTTCCACTTTAGATACCATCTTTTTTTAGCTAAAACATTAAAAATAAAACAATGTTTTCATTTTTTCATTTTTTTCAATTTCTTTAAAATAATTATTCGTGTAAAAATTACATAATGTTTAAAACCGATTTCTGTGTACAATTATTTCTAAAACAAATCATATATACCTGTAACAGCATGTCTGCTTCACCCCATCATTGTTAAAGAACCACGCCTCATAACATGTTGGTTTAGGACTTGCATTCTCATACATTGGTTCCACAATACGGTAACTGTAGTCGAGGTCCATCTGTTGCTGGGTACATGGACATGCGTACGATAACAATCGCTGTTTCGATATCCAAATTCTTATTGTTTCATTTTTACTAAATTTCAGACACTCTGATTCGTTTTTTAAAACGGCACTTGTAATCTGATCATGATCTGTAACGTTGAATATCCATCTTCCATCAGGACCTGAGAAAAAAGTTATATTAGGAAATAACTGAATTATTTACATATTAAATATGTCAGCGCCCAGCTCCATTTGTGAATTAAACAGCTGGGTAAGCATATAATTTAATGTTTATAAATGGCATGACAACAATGGACTTTTAGAACAAAACATCTACAAAATTGGATCGGCATCTATCTAATTATTGACAATCCAACACTTTAAGAAAAACATCATTAATTTATCTTATCTGTATCAGTCTGATAATATTACATGAAATTGCAGTCATCAAAATATAAGAACCAAACATTTTTAACATTCGAAACATTGACAGTCTAACAATATAATATAAGAATAAAATAGTTAAAGATGGATCGGTATTTGTCCGCTTATATTGATATTTAAGCAATATAAGTACAAAACATTCAATAGTTGAATCACAGTATAATATTTTTGTGAAATAGTTAACGGAACTATCTAAAGGTTTGATCGATATCTGGCAAATATTGGACTGTAAATAACTGTAAACTTCCTTTTGAACAGTGTTAACGGAGCTTCAGGTGATTCCTAAATACAGAAAAACAGAACGCTGAAAGAGGCAAAACTGGCTTTGCTGTAGGCTCTGTTTGATTAAGCCTGTTCATGGAAGGTAATGGTAACTGCAAAATACTGTCAATGCCCCAAGCACCGGCTTAAGCATCATTTATCATGTAAACATGAAAACATTGGAAAATATGGTTGGTTTCAAAACAATCCACAAATGTTTTAATATTGTAGTTATCATGGAACCCTCAATTTTACTCAATTTACCTCAATGTCACTTTCGCACCATTCTATGAACAGTGGCAAGTATAATTCCCAAGTAAAATAATGTATACAGCGGGATAACTAAAGTTGATTAGAGGTCACGAACCAAACATGTTATAGAAAAAAAAGAAACTTAAAAGGCAGACCACACATCTAAGTATTCAAGTTTATATACTGGAACCACATATCAAGAAAAAGGACTACATGTAAATCTTCGACAATGGCAATTGTTTGCATATTAAGAGCGGATCATTAAAGTAAATTTACGTCGCTATTTGAACTTAATAAGTTATAGTGAGCATGGAAATGAACATAATCATGCATTTGGTAATTTGGAACATCATTGTAGGAAAGAAAAAAATGAATGTTTTAAAAACAGGTGAAGATGCTTCAAAAGTGTAAATGCTTACCAAATTAACAATTAAACTAAGTGACAGTATCTAACATCTGGCAAAAATGATTACAAAATTAACTTTGCATATTTTTTAAAGAAATACAATCAGTTACCCGTCTCAACGTTGGTATGTTGGTTCAAATAACTTGCATTTTTGCTTGTTGCCAAGATATAAACATCGTTGTCTTTGCAACTATAGCCGGCAGAACTTGGTATATTCTTGTCGAGTTTAAGTGACCATTGCTCATGATCGTAGTTAAACATTAGGTATGAATATATACCATCCGAAATAAGAATCAATTGCATTGTCACATTCTGAAAGTACAAGAAAGTCCACGTTTTTTAAGTTTCACGATATGTGTTTGTTATAATAGCACATTTGTGTTGTAGTAAAACATCTTCAATTAGATACGAATAAATAAAATATTTTAAATGAATTTTATACACTGAGCACGGTTTCAAATAATGTGTCTGTTATGTATTTTATTTAAGAGTCAACCAGAAAACTAGCGATTTATGTGATAAGAAAGGTCATGATTTTACTTTTGTTTCACGTTTCATTCCGTAAAAATAGCTCTTATAATGTTTTCTTGAAACAAAGCATAAAAAGCAACGATCAGAATTTCTGCTTAATTTTTATCCTTGGTAAATATATCTCTCTATTTTTAATATTTTTGCAAGTACTGACTTCTTAAAGCTTCGTGGTTATGTTCTTTCAATATGCATGACTCAGTGCGTCTGCGTCATGTATATTTAGCTTACTGGCAGCCCGGGTAGTTTTGTTTTCAATATTTAGTGTCAAATGGCATAACATTCCAAACTGAAAAGCAAGAGGTCACCGATTTCTTTAAACGAAAAACAAATTTTGAAACGCCGAATTAACAGATTTATTGATAACCTTATCTTGCAAATGTAGCCCTATGCACATTCCTTTTCCTTGCAATACTATCTGCAGTAGTCATCTGACTTAAAATGAACCTCGACCGGGGGACTCGATGGTAAAGTGCATTATCATGTCGTGTCCTGCAGGTGTTAATTGAAGAAAAAATGAAGCGTTATGCATATATTGTCTTTTCACTTTAAATAATAAATGTTCAACTCACTTGAGATTTTATGAGTCTTGTTGGTATAATATAGGATGATTTTGTAACGTTCAACCACGTGACTTCAATAGCAACACGCGGGCGAAAATCTGTAAGGTTAAAGGACGTTGAAAATATGTCTCCCAGCTTTTCCAGGTCTTTGTGTCGACTATCATTCATATTACCTCTGTAGTATTCCATGAGATGGACAAAAACACCTCCAGTGAGATTAGTAGAGTCTAGATTTGTCCAGAATGGAGCTATCACAGTTCGACCTTCGCTAAATGTCTTCCAGTTAGAAGGGGTTTCTGGCCCATAGTTCTGATACAAGGGTTGAAAGCCAAGTGTGATAAAACCATTCATATTCGGCTGTGAATAAGAAACGAGACAAATCTACATACATTTATATCGATATAAGTTTTTTCTATGCTGACGTTTAAACTGCATCTGAACACGCCCGTAAGAGCACTATTTTATTTATCGTATCACTACCTTGAAAATTTACATTTATATAAAGTTATGAACAAGCTTAATCTAATGAAATATCTTATATTAAGTTAAGTTTATTTACAGTTACACTTTATATTGTTTTAATGATCTTATGGTCGATCTCTAAACAGTTGTAACATAGAATGTCTTTTTTATTTAACACACTTGAATACAAAACATGTACGTAAACTAAATGATGTATACAAACACAATATAAGTAGGGTTTTAAACGTTAAACGATGAGTGCGTGCATGAGGCACCGGCTCAAAAAGGTTAAGTCTCAACAAATATTTTAATATTGGCAAAATGGAAGAAGTCTTTTTCAACATTCAAAACATTATTTTTGCATTATGATTTATACTTTAAACGCTTTAAAAGCTGTGTAAATATATGGAAACAATAACATTGAAGAAACAACGTAATTTTATCGATCAAACAAATTGTCTTAACTGTTTAATAATATCCCACAGTTATGACTTACTCTAAAAGATTTATACTCCTTTCCAAAATAAGGAAACCTGTTGTGTATAGGAAAAGAGTTGATCAACTCATTATCTCCCCTGAACGGTACTACAGGTGTCTTCAATTCAATGATAACCTTTTCTAGGAACATAAAATGAAAGTGTCAGATCATTTAATTTTGATAAACGGTTCATGAAAATGTTTAAAATATAGAGGGTATCCTTTTTTCTATAAAAACAGGATTTATCGCGTGTTATGAAAAAAGATATTATTTGGCGTTAGCCACACATTAATGAAGAATGATAATTTTCCTATTACAAAATAGAAATAAATCTTGTATTTATGGATAGAATTTCTAATCATTATTTAGAAGAAAGAAGTCTAGCAAGAGTAGTTTAAGTATTGGAATATTTTTTTTAACTGCATTTTTACAGTGAAAATACGGATAATGAAAATACGCATTTTAATTCATCATTTTTTTCTCATTATTTTATTTTTAGGTGTACAATAAACATGTTTATAAGCTGATATGCGATAGATTGTATGAGAACAAATCACATCAGGGGACCGCGGTATATCATTGAACATTTTGATGGCTTAAGAAAAAGCAATGCTGAAACTTTGAAAACTTAGAAAATTCATTAAATGGAACATTGTAAATAATGATGAATAATATGTTTGTCAAAATTTGTATTTTGCTATAATTTAAAATGCATTAGTTAAAAATGAAAACTCTTACTATATATTTAAGATGTTAATGTTTTAGAAACAACGGTACATACGTACATGTAGTGTATGACTTATCAACAAAGTTTTGAAAAGGAATAAACCAAAATATGTAAAACCTACGAGGCACATATATATACATGTACAACATTGCAACATTAATGAGATATAAAATAAAAACAAAATGTTCACTTAAAGTGAAAAACGAGAAATATTATCTAATAATTAAAGATGGTAGCAAAGTGTCAAGGAAAGTATTGGTAAATCTTATATTACTATAGCAATGAAATGTCGGGTCTCCTTTCGGGAAGTCTTTATTGCACGTGCAATTATAACCTCCGTCAAAATTAGTACAATAAGCTTCTACCCCACAAGTAGATGTATCGTTACACTCGTTAATATCTGTAAAATAAATCATTAGATTTATCGATCTAAAACATAAAATGCAAATCAGAATATTTTTATCTAATAAAGTGGCAACTATTTTGAAGCTTACGACAATAACTACTCAACCACGGACGCCCAAGCGATTTCAAAACAAGTAAGTTGAAAGCATAATGCACAAAAATATGCTGTCTGAATTCAGGCACCAAATTATTGAACAATTAATACATTGTTGAACTCGTCTTTGATATGAAATATATCAATTCATTGTTAAAAAATATTTACCACTCATATTATTAATATTATTATTATTCTTTGATACAATGTGTTAATAAAAATACAAAGTTATTAAAAATCTTTAGCAGATTTGAATGCCCTTTAAATGTAAATAATGAATTAGTTTTAAAATGCTCAAACATTTCCATGCATGAAGCATAATTTCTTAAAGTGACATTTTGCCCATTCTTTCACTTTCAAATTGAGATAAGTTAATCGTATTTTAACCGATTGACTATTCTAATTGCGACTGAACAATAATTGATATTAACAAATAATTCTTATACAATATAAAAACTGCCTAAAATATAAAATGACTGTCCAACTTTGTTTATAAATTGAACATTACCGATATCTCCCGAAGGACGTTTATAGATTAATATAAAGGTCACGTTTGTTATTTCTCACGTGATGTAAAATATTAAACTGAAGACAATTATGTTATTTTATTTTCAACTTGACACTTTTGGAAGGGCAAAATGTCACTTTGTTATCTAATGTCAATTCAATGTCATACAATTTCAGTTTAAGATACCATTTTCACAGCGAGTGCCAGTCCATCCTCGATGACAAACACAGACGTACCCTCCATGGTAATTAACACACTGTGATCCTTTCTTATTACATTGACTTTTATTCCAATCTGCACACTCATCTATGTCTGTTTGATATAAACAGTATATTGATATAAACAAACATTATTGTATATTAACTGAATAAATCATCATCTAAAATAACACTTTCACAGTTTTTAAGTGCGTTGACGTACTTCCCTGCTCATCACAATATTTATTTTAATAAACTAAATTCGTACCGCACAAACAAATATATTGCTTTCCGCGAAACAAAATAACTCTTTTACAGTGTTCTGAAAACATTGTAAAATTATGTTTTGAAAAATTCAGTTCAGTTAAATCAAGTTAAACAAACAGTATGATTAAAATGATTGACATAAAGGAAGTGATATACAGTCAGTGATATAAACATAGTGAGATATAGTTAAAGATATAAAGTGCGTGAGTTGTGACAGTGAACGATATAAAGTGAGTGTAAAACAACAAATATTTTGAAATGAGTGATTTGCATTGTGCTATATAAAGTGATTGATATTCAGTAAGTGACATACAATGTTTGCCACATAGTGAATCATATATGGCGAGTGATATACAGTGAGTGATCTATAACGAGTGATATATCGTGTATGAGTATACAGTGAATGACATGCAACGTTTGCTATACAATAATTAATATACGTTGAGTGATATGCAATGAGCGATGAACAGTGGGTGATATACAACCTGTGGTATACAGTGAATTGGCAGCAGTGAGTAAAATACAATGAGTGGTATACAATAAGTGATATTCAATTACTGATATTCAATATTATGTATAGTGAAAGTCATGGGTGAAATCGACTGATGAGACACGATGTAAATTTTTAACAGGATGAAAATTACAGAAAATAAACAAACAACATGACTTATAAACATACATCTCGAAAAATTAAACTTCCCTTTATATTTTGCCAATGACGGGCACAAACAAAGCAAGTTGAGTTACCCCTTGGACTTCAAAACAGTTCTGAAAATGTTTCTTAAAGAAAAGATGTGTTTGCTCAAACGTTCTGGTCGAACCCGAGTCACTTTTTTAAATCGTTCATTTAAATTATTATTGGTCTTAAAATGAAATAAGAAACATTTAAGTTATCGGATAAACGCCATACCTTGACAGTCTCGACCGGTTTCCCCATTCTTGGAATTATCGGTGTACTTGTCTGGACACTTGCATGTGTAAGACCCCTCAGTGTTGCTACAGATAGCTTGCAAGTCACAGTCGTTTGTGTAACGAGCACATTCATTTATGTCTTTTATAAAGTGAAAAATTACATGTATTATTTTATGGATAGTAAGTGTTTATAAACAATATATATAACAATAAGAAAAGCATTGATGCAAAGCATCAAAGGGCGTCCAAACAGCAGGTGCAGATGAACGAGTAGATATATGATGACAAGATATTCTTATAAACTTTTCAATGGTTCATTGGGTTTTACCATAATTGTATATCACTTTTGAATGAACGGACGAAAGACATTGTTCATTATTTATCATATGTGTAACGCATGATCAACACCATACTTGTGTAATTGTCCCTTATTATGTTATCGCTATTAGCGAGGACCCCCTCTTAAGGTATCTGTTCACACTAAGTAACAATATGACACTTGTTATATTACCATGTTGATCATGTTGAGCATAATTGTTTATCATACAATAAATGTAATATCTATTTTAATAAAAAAAAATACAGATTTTATGAATATTGTTTTCTTTTCTTTTTTTGGGTGTGTTTAAGCGCTATTTTAATACTGAGTTTTTACGTTTACTACTATTTTAAGAATTCAATTGTCATAATGATCGACGATTATAAGTCAAAACTTAACTGGAAAAAGTCAGTAAATCATGGTTAATCTTTCAATATATAATATTGTTTATTCTTAAACCATATACATGTACATTTGTATTTTTCTTTATCATTTTTTAAATTATCAATCAATTGAATAATTCATAAAATCTGATTTGTAACTTTGAATAATTCCTCGGAATCTTTACTAAACACGAATAACAAATTAAATAAATGTTTTAAAGTTGATAGTGTCATATTAATGCCATAAAAATGTACATTTTTTCTCAATTATTGTACATATTTATTGTTTTTATCTCATAAAGATAAAATATAACATGCGATTCGTGTTGTTGGTTTTTTTTTTCGAATTGTATGTTTATGTATAATAATAATCAATCAATTCGAGAGTTGATCTGTGTTTTTTAATTATTGTAACCAAACTAAGTGACAAACATTCATTTTGAAAAAAAGCTTATTTATCTGTAAAATATTTGTTCTGTTCTGTAACGATATCAAACATCTACTCCAAAACCGGGAGAGACCGGACAATAAACGTGTGGTACTATTCGCCAGTCATTAGTAAATCCCGGGAGAGACCGGGAATTACCGATATGAGTACATCCCTCTATAAATAGATTTTCGGAATATTTAGGTCACCAACTCATCATTCTATTAACAGCTTTCGGAATAACATACCATAATAACCAACTGTGTACTACAAAATGATAAGCAAAAATACCCCGAAGAGCGCCATTTATTGACGGAAAAGGTTATTTCATTTGAAAATGTTTGCATTGCGAAATTCTCCAGTTCACCATTCATTGAACATATCGCGACTAATTAATAATCAAGCACCCTCATACCGATCGGAATGATCGGCTTTTATTATTGGCAACTATAAAAGGCTCGAGAAGTTGCTGTCGCCCTTTCACAAAATCTCATTTCATTCCAATAGGCGCCGCGCTTCGGCGCGGACGCCAATAAGGTTTGTGAGTAACAGTTAAATATTAACACGAGGAAAATACTTTGTTCCTGAGACATGTTCTTATCATTTTTATTCACATAACACTTTATCATTATGCAAACATTTCCTAGAAAGTCCTAAAACGTGAACAAATTATAATTATAATTCGAACAAAAATTATAGTGACAGAGTTTTGTGTTTCCAAGCTGACCGACTTTTCACAATATGTCCTAATCAAAATATTAATTCTCAAAATTGAAGAACCAACTTCCAAAAGTATGTTATTATTGAAATTTATGTCAATGTTAACCATTTTCATTAAAAAGATACATTTATACATTGATAAATATTATGTACCTTTGCAAACAGGAGCAGGTCTGCTCCAATTTCCACTTGAGTTACATGTGGCAAAAACGGCGTCGGTTGTTTCGTATCCTGCATTACAGCTATATGTAACGTTTTCTTTATATGTAGTGCCCGTTTTGAAAATCGTTCCATGGGTTGTTTCATTCGGGTTCCCACAGTCTGAGACGATATTCAAAGACAATATATTATAAATATAAACATACATGTATTTAAAGAAGATCTCCGTTCATTTATAAAGTCGTCGCTGCTGTTCATAAAAATATCACGCACAATGGATATTACAAAGTCATTAAATGATTTCATATAACTTAATCGCCGCAACTTTAAGACTTCGACTTTATTTAACATTTGAATCTATTACTTACATAAAGATATTTAATTAGAGGAAACACTATTTTATACCCCTTTTGGTATACTGCCGGTATATTTGCAATTGTTTCCGCACGATATGTTTTTGTTGGAAGGTTCTTATTCAACAGAGCAGTCAGTGATTGAAAGCTTCCTATTTTGTGTCAAATCGAATGTGCCAGCACAATAATTACATAATATTAAATGTACATTATGCCTCAGAAATAATTAATCTTTTACTTCTATAGAAAGTAATGATTTAATGTTTAAAAAAATGTTTTTTGAGAACTGTATTATGGTTGATACCCTAAAAAATAGCGATAAATGCAAACCATTTTGTCATTTAAGTAGCAAAATGTAAACAAAGTACCACTTTGACTTCCATACACTACACAATATCAACAGATGAAAAAGATAGTTCCGGTAATAAGCAAAAGCCAAACCTTTTGGAATCTTTCTAAGTAAACCCAAAAATAAAAAGATTTTGAGAAATAAAACTTGAAGCATTTCTGAGGCATAGTATACCTTTAATATTACGGAATGCCGTTAGGACCATTGCCTATGAATGTGTTGATCGGAAACGCGATAGTCGATAGCCGATAGTACGATGGTGAAAACGCGAAATCACGAAACTACGATGGTGAAAATGCGAAAGCACGATGATGAAAACGCGAAAGTGCGATGATGAAAACGCGACAGTACGATACTACGACGATGAAAGTGCGAAAAAATATCGTGTTTCACCATCGTACTGTCGCGTTTTCACCATCGTAATTTCGTGATTTCGCGTTTTCATCATCGTACTGTCGTGTTTTCATCATCGTACTTTCGCGTTTTTACCATCGTACTATAGCGTTTTCACCATCGTATTATCGCGTTTTCAACATCGTACTGTCGTGTTTTCATCATCGTACTATCGCGTTTTCACCATCGTACTGTCGTGATTTCATCATCGTACTTTCGCGTTTTCATCATCGTATTATCGCGTTTTCACCATCGTAGTTTCGGGATTTCGTGTTTTCACCATCGTACTATCGACTATCGCGTTTCCGGAATGCCGTTAGGGCCATCGCCTATGAATGGTTTGATCTGAAACGCGATACTCGACAGTACGATGATGAAAACGCGAAATCACGAAACTACGATGGTGAAAACGCGACAGTACGATGGTGAAAACACGAAAGTTTATCGCGCTTTCATCATCGTAGTATCGTACTGTCGCGATTTCATTATCGTATTATCGCGTTTTCATCATCGTGCTTTCGCGTTTTCACCATCGTAGTTTCGTTATTTCGCGTTTTCACCATCGTACTATCGACTATCGCGTTTTAGATCAACACATTCATAGGCGATGGCCCGAACGGCATTCCGTAATATACACATGTCTATTGCAGCACTAGCGTTCTTGCTCATACTTAACTTTTTAAGATTTTATTATTGTGATCAAATGTCTCACCTTTAATTTTACATTCAGGAGGTTCGACATTCCATGTTGCATTTTCTTGACAGACAGCAGAATCGCTTCCTTTTAAATCGTATCCAGTGTTACAACTATAGTTCAGTTTGTCTTTATACTTTGTTCCATTGTTCACCTTGACAGTTGTTCCATTTAAAGTTTCTTTAGGTTCGTGGCAGTCTAAAAACAGATTATCAGATAGTTACCCAAAATCAAGTCTATGAAGGTGCTCAAAAATGTTAACACGTGATGGTATCTGACTAATCGGTTGACATCGCTTGTGTTTTGTTAACATTTTTTTTCTTTTACTGTCCGTTTTATTTCCATAAATTTGATTTGGAAAAATAAATATCAAGTGTCTAATTATTCGAAGAATGTCGACATTATACAAGTATTCATTTGCATTTACCTTTAATGATACATTTAGGGACAACGTGACTCCATGTACTGTTAGCTAGACATACAGATGTGTTTATACCATTCATTTCGAAACCTGTATCGCATTCGAATGTCATCAATGACTGATATGTTGTTCCATTTGAGAAATAGGCAGAACCATTTACTGGTTCTGTTCGTGGTCCACAATCTGAAAGGACCGGAATTACTCATATAGATATAAAATGATTACTAAGTACAAATGGTTCAAAATTTCTATTTTGAAGAGGCAATTTCGGAAATGTAAACATGGTTATTACGTAGCATTTAGTTACAAGACTGTTAATATGAATTAATGTTAAGTACAAAAGCAACAACAGGGATACATACCATTGATAGTGCAAATGAGACTGTGAAGACTCCAGTTCCCGGATGATTCACAACTTGTCATATTATCACCAATTAACGTATAGCCCTTATCGCAGGTGAATGTGGCTACAGACTGATATTCTGTCCCATTGTCTGTGTTAACCTTGCCATTTGTTGGATTTTGAAGGGCACCACAGTCTATAAAAGCAAATATGACACTTTGTTGACTCAATTGACACAATGTATGCCCCTTACAAGCAATAATAAAAATAAAATCACAGTTCGCAAGCAAAGAAATAAAATAAAATGAAATATCTTCACACCATACGGTACGTGGTATTTGAACACGCGACAACCTGCTTATAACCAATAACAAAATCTTTATACCGCTTAGCACAAAGAACTATTTCCATCGGCAAATCAGATCAAATTCATTTCGATATCGTAGGACAATAGCATATAGTTGATCTAATCAATCACCGTAATTTTCGGCTCTCGTGATTTATTTACTGTGCCTATGAGCCCAAATAAAACGTAACATATTCTACAACAACGCTCTATAAATGAATAAAAAATTCTTATAAATATACGCTTTTAAAAACTACATGTGTATGTTATTTATTTTACTGATAATATTTACTGTATATTTACGAGTAAGAACAAGAAACAAAGAAAACTGAGGCAAATAATGATTATATTTCATCACATGTTGTTTCTTTATCATTTTTTTTAAATAAGTAACATGTACAAATTACAAACCTTTTATATTACATGTTGGTTTTGTTCCACTCCATGACCCATTAGCCTGACAAATTGTTTTATTTGATCCATGTAGATCAAATCCTTTGTCGCACACGTATCTTGCAATTGACAAGTAAGTTGTTCCATTGATAGCCGTAGCGTTGCCGTTTATTGGCATTTCAGGAGAGTGGCAGTCTAAATACAATATGACAATCAAGTATATAAAGGGATTAAAATCTGAAAAAGGGATAAGGGAAGCAATGGAAACATCAAAAGCATATGAACTTTGTATACTCGGTTTGAATGAGAATATTCACGAGAGAAAAATAAATAAATGTAAACGTAAATGTAAAAGTTTAGTCGCATGTTTGGAATATATGCTTATTTTAATTTCAGGGAATAAGATTCAATATTGCATCTCTCACGCCCCCTAGCAGCAGTATTCAATCTTCAACACTAACGGGCAGCATTTATGATCCCGAAGAACCAGAACAATATAACAACACTGAAGTGAAATACATGGCATCAGTTTATAGCTGCCAATACGGCACATGACATCTGTTGTTGTTAAAAAACGGGAAATGTCTCGTAAGCCATGAACACAAAAACAAGCATTTCTTTGTAATATAAAATAATCTCATATTCACATTTTACGTAAGTTGGTTGCAAGTATATAGCAATGTACCTCGGTATTGACAACTAAAATCAAAATAAATCAGCACTTTTGACGAATTCCATTTTAGTTAGCAGAATATGGTTAACATTAACCATGTGTAATTGTTGTTCTTGCAATTAATTATTGTCTTTGTTAACAACAATTTATTTATTCATCAACGTTATTCTAGTACAATGTTGAAAAGCACTTTTGTCAATGATTTTTATCTAAATAAAAACATAATATAAAGGACCATTTCAATGTAATGTCGGCATATGAATGCAATCAATGTATTGGGGGAATATTTTAAGAACAGACGATGACGAGATACCATTTGTTGAAATGTTAATGATAAGAAGTCATAATCTTTCAGATAACGGTATATACTCTCAACTTATATTTGTGGGTTTGGGACTTTACAAATTCACGAACATAAGTCTACTGGATAACTGTAACTTTTGTACTAATTTTCAAAAGGAGGGCTCGACAGTGATTTACATAAGGTGCAAGTGTTATTCAAAAAGTCATTTTGTTAAACTTAAATTAAATAAAAATCAGTTGTTGATATTGTTTATAGTAATTTGCGATAAAGCGCTTACCATTTATTACACACGAAGTATTGTATAGTGTCCATGTGCCATTTTCAGTGCATTTGGAACTGTTGTCACCTTCCAATGTAAAACCTAGGTCACACGTGAATGTTGAAACAGACTCATATGTTGTTCCGTTAGTGGTACTAACATTTCCATTTGCAAGATCCGGAGGCCTCTTGCAGTCTTGAAATTTTTAGAGAACAACATTACAGTCCCTCATAATATTAAATTAATGTATTCCATTTACATTTCTTTATTGTGTAGAAACTCTTTGAAAAATGCATTGCATATATAACAAAAGAACATACAATAAAACTTATTTGTTTAAAGTTTAACTTGTAGTTAATTTAATATCAAGTTTCAGTCATATCTGTTTTATTGTTGTTGTTTTTTTTTAATTTTTGTTTTTATAATACATGTCAAGAGTCTAAAACGATAACGGTTTTTTTTTATATTTCTTTTAACACCATTCAACAAATGATGTTAGTTATCATGATCAACAGCCTGCAACACTAATGTCTTATACAACAATTAAGTAGTGTGTTATAAGAAATGCTTACCCTTAATTTTGCATTCTGGGTTTCTTGTCCATTGACCAGAGGCATTACATCTTGCCATTTTATCATCAGTAAGTTCATAGCCCGTTTCACAGTTAAACATTGCAGTTGCATTGAAGGTTGTTTCATTTAAAATGAGTGATACCGATCCCTGTATTGGTGGTATTATTTCCCCACAATCTTATAATGGAGATATTAAAGTCGGAATTACATTTATTTGCTTTATAAATACAGTACAAAACAGAATAGAAAAAACAATCACGTGTAGCATCAATGTTCATGGTCAAATCACAAAACATAACCTTCAAAAGCGTATGTCTGATAGTTATACATACATAAGAAATAAAAATCAAAATGTTCTCCTGTTGCTTTGAGTCCGTGTAGTGCAGACATTGTGCACATGGCTCTTCCTTCAACAGACGTTAACAAACATCAATCTTATACATTAGGAAGAACTAATTTATTATACTGCATCTTATCAAACGAAAATCATTTTTTCTTCAAAACAATTATAAATATAGCATTTTTGTATGCAATGCTTTTAAAACGAAGCAAGACTATACAATATTATCTTAAAATAATAAATATTTCTGGTGTCGTTTTATATTACAAACAATAATCTGTCTAATGGCCACATCTCATGCATAGATTTGAGTGTCACAAACACATTAGTATATATATATATATATATATATATATATCACATAGAGCTATTTTAGCCGTTGTAGAGAGACACTTTCCAAATTGTCATTGGTGTGAGTCAGACATATCAAAAGTAGCTAAAATGTAACAAACGATAACAAAGATTTTCGAATATATATTACAGGTGGAATATCAGGGTTTTTTTTTTAAATTTTATTTCGATAGTAAGTATGCGAACTGTTATAGTTGTTTAACAGTAATGAAATTTGTGGAAAATCATTTTATGCAAATTTAGTTTTTAAACGTTTAAAATTTAAAAAAAAAGTATTTTCATAAATATTCAATTTTTTAAGTACTTGTAATCAAAACAAACCTGTAACATTACAAGTTGGTGGTTCTGAGTTCCATGTACCGTCAAGTTGACAAAATAGTGTATGACTTCCATTTAATGTGTACCCAATATCGCATTCATAAATTGCACCCGACTCAGTTGTGTTAACAGAACCATGATCTATATCTTCAGCTTGGTTACATTCTTCATTGAAATAGTAATCATATTGTTACAGTTGCCATATTCCGCATCAAAATAGCACTAACGTTATAACGTTATAAGCTATTGTCACATTCACAAAACAGGTAAGCTCAGACATGTCTTCATCAAAAATTAATTTAAACTCAGTCTCAAAGGTTTGAGACGACAAAAAAGATCAAAAAGTAATTACAACTCAGACTTTTACATTCACAATAGAAATAATAATGATGATAAAAATAATTAAACTCAGTATCTTGAAAAGGTAAATATAGAATTCTTATATCAAAGTATGAAAAATATATATCATGATCATGATATCTTACTATTTTGAGTACAATTCACAGTGTATTTGTTCCACTTTCCATCTGGCATACAACTTGTAGTATTATCCCCATGTAGAGTATATCCAGGCTGGCATTTGAATTCAACGATAGCTTCAAATTTTGTACCATTTGGAGCAGAAACATAGCCGTCTTGCAGAACATTTGGCATCCCACAATCTATGTAGATGTTAGTGTATGATAAACTTAGTAATAAATAAGTTTTTGAAACGTGCGAGTCGATTTTTATCAATTATGAAATGATGAGTAATTTTAAAGCTTTTCGAAATGAAACGATTGCTTAACTACATGTATATACCTGACTTGATAAATATCATTGACTAAGTTCATCTTAAATACAACATTTACATACACATTGTTACCAAATGGTAGCAAGGAAACAGTGTCCGTATACAATGCTGTGTTATTGTACATAGATATGTGTTCAAATGACGATTACAAAAATATTCACTTTACAGTAAATATTCAAAAAGTTAATGACGTGTACACACGTGAATAAAAGAGAATCTATGTAACCTAATTGGACTTCTTTTTTGGTTGGAATGAGAAAATAATTTTAGCCGAATTATGTAGTTTCTATAATTACTGAAATAAAATATTCTAATTCTTTCAGATCTTAGAGCAGTATATAACAGCTGAAAGCAATTAAAGGTATTCAGGGATATATGTCCTACATGAACACTGTGACACATGCCTGTTAGTATAACAAAAAGATAAACAAATAAATAGAATTGATTATTTACCAATGAGAGTGTAAAATTAATGAAAGTATACACGTGACGTAACCTTTAAAAATGAGACGCGCTGAAAATAAGTACGTAAACAAATCAGGGGCAGTTTATCTATCTATCATGTACGGCAGCATTTATTTGTTGATGTCGTGTTAGAATCGAAATAATATATCCAAATCGGTGATTTTATTGCTTGATACATCACTATTTGTCGTTCGGATGCGCATCATTATATCACTCGGGCTACGCCCTCGTGATATAATTCCCCGCATCCGAACTCCAAACAGTGATGTTATTGAGAAATAAAATCACAGTTTGGGATATATTATTTCTTAAATATAATTTCCAATACAAGTTGCTGTACATTTTAAAGTGGAATTCAAACCTTTTATTTCGCAATAAGTTGTATTGTAATCCCAGTTTCCTGATGCTTGGCATGTTATGTTTGCTTGACCTTTCATGATGTAGCCCTCATCACAGATGTATGAAGCATTGGAACCGTAAACAGTACTGTCCTGATGAAGAATTATTACACCATTTGCTGGGGGTGATACTTGTCCACAGTCTGTACAATTCAAGGAATAAAGAATTTACATTACATTGTAGGGAAATCAATCAATAACGCTCCTATTATTATTTTCATATTTGACAAAGCTAAGGAACAGTTTATTGTTTTAAACCTAGATTATTGTCAGTGCCTTTGATCATGTTGATGTCTGTCAATGCAAGTTAGACAGGACTGGTTTTAAGAAAATATGAATGCTAGAGGCATTTTATAGTACAAGTAATATCTTGAGTGTTTCAACCTAATACGGGTATGCTGAAGACAATGAGGGTGGATACCAAGAAAATAAAATTGAGCGTATCATGCCATGATCTCATTTCACTTTGAACCTAGTTTGGTCAAGGCTATCGGTAATTTGAGCTTTGGTAATTCAATAGCAAACGAAACTGTTACGCTTTCATTTTCAAATTCTACAAGAATCAGCTAAAACGCAATTGAGAATCTTGTGAATATTTAAAGTTTTGGCAAACAGGTTATATGCGAGCTGAGAAAGTTGTTAGCATTTATAAGCGTGGCTTGTTTTAAAACAAGTCTATTAGGACAAGTTAATCTATTACGGGTGACTTAAAATTAACTTTAGTGATCCCAACACAATCAATGAAGCCATCTCATCGGTCAGAAAATAACGACAGGACTATTTGTCCATATTTTGGGGGGTAAATGCAGAAATTGTATGGTGGTTAGGGAGTAGTGAAGGAGTAGTGGTGGTAAGAACTGACAAGCAATCATACGTTCATATCAGCCTTCTGATCACTCTCCTACAACTTTTATATGGGAAGCTCGCTCTATAATGTTGTCGTTGATGCTTAGAGTTTTGGGGACTTAGCGATAGTGGTGGTTATGGTAGCTATAGGAAGGGCTATGTCCCAGTGAGTAATGGTGGGGGAAGAGTAGTTTAAGAGAGGCTCAACCTCTGACCATTTAGTAATGTTGGGAGTAAGGATAACTGCAAGAAAAGCGGTGCCTGAATTATATAAGTATACCCAGTGATTTAGTGGATCATAACATTTAGAAACAAATTACTCAAATTTTACACGTCTTATGGGTTGTAGTAGCCATAATCAGACCTTGGGCAAATTACTTTAAAAAGTAAGTGATTAAGTCACAATTATTTCTTATTCTTTTACAACAGTTACAATGAATTACTCTAACTTTTCTCCAGGGATTGACAGAATAACATTAATTTTTCATGAATAATTATGATAATTTCTGATTACTTTCTATTGTTGAAGGTAAAGGGCAATTGTAGCTTGGATATGCATGTTGTAGTTAATCTGTTTGGCTGACATCACAGTAGAACACTTTGTCATAACCAACTTTGTGCAAGCTTCAAGTACAAGTTACTGTTATTAAAAAAAGAAAGCCAAAACGTTTGCATAATATAATGGCTTTTTTAATGTAAATTATTCATAAATTGCGTGGTATAGGGTTTCTTGTGATGAAAATAAAACGAGCATTTAGCAGAATTTGAAGTCATAACCATGACATCTCATTCAATGACAAAGTCACAGGGCGATAAATGTTGCTGCCAACGAAAAAACTTTTTTTCTTAGTCTGGCCCAAGGGTTCGGAGGTTTTTGATTCAATATGAGTTTTATAATATGCATTATTAATTAAATGTGCAATATTGCAATTCAATTTAGAGCTGATGCATTTTCACTATGACATTATGGATAGAAAACTCAGCCATTATGAAAAAAAAAACACATCCATAACGAGAAAAGTCGGCCGTTATAAGATTCAAACATTCTGACTGACTGTTTGACATGGCCATTATGAACCTCATGCTAAACATTTAAAAATCCAATGCCATTTCGTTATTTATAATAATTAAAGTTTCTTATTTAGCTTGAATCCTTTGGCTTTATAACAATGTCATTATGAAAACAAACGCCAATCATTGACATCATAGTAACACAGCTTTTCCCTAATGTTGTTGCTTATAGGTCAATAAATTAAATTTGTAAGTCGCAGGATAGGGCATTTTAACTAGGATCAAAATATAATCCTGTAGATGCTCATGCAGTTCAGCTTGTAGATATGTAGATGTGTATTTAGGTGATGCATTAATCTCAAAATGAAGCCTCATTCACTGACATCTGACTTGGAAACCAGTGCATGCATGGGAGTATAGGACTTTTTTGACAGTGATAAATCCTTTAGTGAAGCAAAATTAAATCTAAGCTGTTATATAAGTGTTATTGGTTTTAAATTTCTAATGACAATATAAATCATTCTACATAATATTTCCTGAAATTTAAAATCGCAATAAGTGAATTGTATTAAGCAGCTCTGAGGAGTAAGAGTAAACTATTTAGAAATTTCTCAGGTGGTTAGTCAAGTTTAAAAACCTTGTTGAAAGAAATACTGGTATATAGTGTTTTGCAAATATAAGTAGGAATCTGAGTAGCCACTCTATATGCTTGCATAAAGTGCCAGATAGAATACATGAAATATCTATATATGTAGCAGATAGGGAAGGGAAGAATGTAGTGTTCGCTGCGTAAACCCTAAATAAAGTGATGGTTCAAAGGATTAAGGACTTTCTAGAAATTCTATCTCTTACATTATAGTCTCTTATGTTTAAAAGCCTTAAAATATTCAGTACTATCTTTAATATTACTACTATATTACTATTATATTGGCCTATAGAAAAATGTCCGCCATCTTGGATTTCGGCCATATTGGATTGTTTTTTTTAAATTCTGTTTTGGTGTCTAATATGTTTTTCCCTTAACTTGCTTTGTGACAAATTTCAGGTTTTTCCTATCTTTAAAAGTTTTATTTGATAAATCATCCATTTATGATAAAGAATTTGGCGGTTCCTATATTGGCCTTAAGAAAATGTCCGCCATCTTGGATTTTTTCGGCCATATTGGATTGGCTTTTTTTAAATTCTGTTTTGGTGTCTTATTTGTTTTTACCTAAACATGCTTTGTGACAAATTTCAGGCTTTTCCTTTCATTAAAGTTTTATTTGATATATCATCCATTTATGATAAAGAAATTTGGGGGCCATTTTAGTGGTCATTTTAAATGGCCATTTCAATGGTCAAGATCAAGTTTTTCAGTTTGGTATCCACCTTTATCGGATCCAGCATACCTTAAATAGGTTAAATACACTAAGATACCACTTGTACTACAAAATGCCTCTAGCATCTTAAAGAGAGCCAAATTCTCAAACTCAGTCCTGTCTAAGTATGAAATATGAATACATACATGCATACTACTTATGTCTATTTAAATGTGATGAGTGTGTTTCTGTTTTCTATACATTATACATTACTTAAAGAATGATTATGCATAACAATGAACGGCTTTATATGATTTCACTTATAATTCAATATTTCTATAAATTTTTAGACATAGTTTAAAATAATTATGAGGATATTCTTTTGAAATAAGGAATATATTTTCACGAAACGTGTTTAAATGCCATATTTGTTCACGAGCCGGAATGGCGAGTAAAATATGTGGCATTTTGTCATGTTTAGTGAAAATATAAACCATATTTTACGAAAAACGAAAAATACCCTTTTCATTTAATTTATCAAAGGAAAATGGTTATAATCTCCCTTGTTTGCTACGCAACTGCAATTGTACAGCGCGCTGTAATATAATTTTGTTTTGTTTTGCACGTGATTTAAAAAAAAATATGAAATATATTTAACTGATATAGCACCATATTTCATGGGTAAAATTAAATAATTAAACTTATACAAAACACCATTTCTTTAATTTAACGACTTCTTGTCCAGTCTTTGTTTTGACGTAACGTGTATATTATAGGTGTCGATCTAAGTGTCATGTGTCGAGATGTCTTAGGGGTCGAGCTGAGAAGAGGTCAAGATGTTTTAGATTCCTTTTTTATCAGCTTTGTTGTTCTTGTTACAGACTACTTGAAGAACATGAAAATATTGTTGCTAGAGAACAGATAACTCTCTTTATCTTACGAAAAATCTTGAGTCATGTATTCAATCTTCCCTTTTACACCTAAGAAAAAATATTGATATTGATGTAATCAGTATCATAATACTTGAATGGCATACCTTTTATCTGACAATATGTTGTATAATCGCTCCATTTCCCAGTAGCCTTGCATTCTATACTGTCAGACCCATTTATTTGATAGCCATCGTCGCAGTTATACACTGCCTTAGATGCAAATGTAGTCCTATTTGAGACAAAGCTGATTGTACCATGTGATGGTAAAGGTAATTGTCCACAATCTTCAAAATGAACAAAAAAGAATAAAATTATCATAAAATAAAAGAACACTTTTAGAAATGTCAAAAGAATTGCATACTCGGTTTGATGAAGCTTGTTCATTGACGGTACAGACAAGTGAAAGCCGTCATGGAACAGCCTAAATCAGAATTTAACATAAATAACGAAATAGTTATCCTAAATATAGTCAGAAAGGTTGTTGTGGTGACTTCTAGCTCAACTTTTGAATTTAAAATAAAACGATTAAACTATAAATACATAAGTAAGCAATCTCTAAATACCGTTATATTCTATTGTTTTATCAGTGTTTATTCATACAAAATTGACAAAGGGAAGTTACCCGTGTCGGCTTTTGCTATGTAAGATATTCAATGTTACATGTATAATGTTGTAAATTATGGTTGACTTAAAAATGTTTTATTATAAGCTGTTTATACGATGAAGAACCGCAGCACGCTCAAATTTCACTGTATAGATGACCAACCACCTGTATGTTAGAATATGATTGCGTTTTGTTCTAAGAGTGATATTATGCAACTCACGGGCCATATATTCAGTGAGCAGGTGAAAGTGTGTGAAAATGTGTATAAGTTCACATTTTGTCATAAATCCTTTCAGTTACGTAATTTACTTTCCATGTACGATAAATAACTCAAGTGACCCAGGGAAATGTCTGCAAATATACCATGGAATTTACCTGTAACGTTCACTTTATAAAAAGAATAGGACCGTCTTTTAAGATTCAAGCCAGATTTATACTTAAGATTTATCAACTGTTGGTCAATCACCATAATAACAGTCAATCTTTTGAAATATGTTGTCAGTTCATCTCAACTAAACAATGAAACTATGAGCATAATGTCAATTTCAATGCATAGTTCTCGATTTTTTAACTCATTATTAGAAACAACAAATGTGTTTTGTTCTTTAAGGCATATCTCTCTATTTAATATCATTGTTAAAAGTTACAATGATGATTTTATACTTGAAATTCTTCTTTTTGCGCAGCGTAAGCAAAGTCGTTGATTAACGGACATTTTTGTTTTCAGTGCTTCTTTGAAAACAAACGGAAGTTGGGATTTTCTTTTGAACTAGTCGTCTGTGACAATTTACGTCTATATTTAATCATCATTTCATTATATAAATACCAACAATGTTAATTCCCTGATAATATTTATCTCATTCAGAGTAATTCTATATTCTCTTTGTTACCTTTGGGGACGCATGTAGGTATATTAATCCATGTTCCTCTATCAGAGCATGTTATAGTTGTTGTTGATATTGCGCTTGTTTGATTGACATCCTTGTTATGAAATCCTGCATCACAGTCTATTTCAGCAGTTGAATTATACTCTGTACCATTCTTTTGACGTCTTTTTTCTGCATTACTGATGTTTAAATATGTTACATTTCCACAATCTACAAATAAGTATATACGTTTTACAAAAACATGTATGTTTCGCAAAGTTCTTGTTCCAATATAACAAATAAAAGAAACTTGAATTGTTTTTATCAATCGAACCGGGGAGGAACCGTTACAAGGGTGGAATGCTTATGCTTTCTGGTCAGTAGTTCTTATGATAACTGTTACAGAGTACATGGAAAGCATCATGGGTGTCGTCGGAAATATCTATATACCAAATAAAACACGCGTTGAAATTGGTAATTTTCATCTTTAAAAATAGAGTTTGGGTTCATTAAGTTCATTAAGATCATTAGGTTTATATTTCATATTGTACTATATGTCAGAAAATAAACACACTTTTATCGCATTTTGTTTAAAATCTAGTTGTTTCGGGTAAAAAGTCCAAATTATTTTCTCATTCGTACATATTGGCCCGTACATTTGTAATTTTCTTCTTTGCCATATTTAATTACCTAATTATAATTTTAAATTGCAAACATAAATCTCTGACTAACAAATTTATGCACATTTTGCAAATGAGTTCGTGTGAAAACTCTGAAGATGACCTAGAGTTCTTCTTATAACGTTTGTTACTCTCCTTGTGTTTCTTGCAAAACGTTACGGCACGTTGTAGCGAATCTTATTATTTAGTAACTGTGTAAATCATTATGAAACGCAGAACATTCATCCTTAGCAAATAAAGGGTTATATAATATTGGTTTTGAGTGTTTATCAATTCAAGACTTTATGTTCCCTCCGTTTCCTGTGTTGTTTTTTTCTCTCATTTTTTCCCCATTTTATAGCAGTTTTATTGATTATTAGGTAAGTATGCTATCGGTCTGTCGAAACAATTTACATGTATGTAACCAACCTCTAGCTTCCAATAACAATCTGTATCCTGCTACATTTTAGTGAACATATTTTACACATTTACCTTTTCTTATACAGGTTGGTAAATTCGTCCAGTTTCCTGTTTCACTACAGGTTATAATTGTGGTGGATATATGTTCGGTCTGGTCTTCGTCTTTATCTTTAAAACCAATATCACAGGTCATGTTTGCGATTGATGTAAACACCGTGCCGTTCATATAATTCCTTTCATTGACATAAGTCAGGGTTAAGTTTTCTAGTTGTCCACAATCTGTTATGAAATAAAGTATTAAAATTATTATAAAATGATTATGCTAATTTTCGTCATCCTGTAATCTTATTAAATAAAAAAAAATTGTTGAATGTGAGAGGAAACAAAAATCTCAAAATAATATTTTAAAAAACTCATTTGTTTAATTAAAAGTACAGTTAATACAGTATATTAATTGACTGTGTTTAAAGGTACATTCCTTTCGGTACGCAAGATGGTAGATTCACCCAGGTTCCATTCTTGGAACATGTTAGTGTAGTTGTTGACCGTCCAGCTGTTTGAGTTCCATGTTCGTTATAGTAACCACTATCACATACTACATCTGCTGTAGAGTTAAACTTGGTGTCATGATGCAGTTTTGCTAATGCTACATTTGTAAGGTTTTGTTGATCGACGGTCCCGCAATCTGCAGACATAAAAGGCTTTATCATATAATATTACTATAAAATAAGGGGTTGTTATTAGATGATCAATGTATAAAATTGCATGTCATATGATATAAACAAGCATAGCCATGTATGAACATGACTGATAAACAAATAAAAATAATGAATCAGAAAGTTTTCTACAAATCAAACAAGTTTGTAATGCCATGTTCTGACGTTTGGTTAGCACTGTCAAAAGGCTTTGTCGGTGTCATTCAATTCAGAGATGATTGTAACAAGAAAAACTGAAGGACAGCTAAATCCCCTTCTGCAGCGGACATGAATGTGTACTACTTTACCTGTAAAAACCATGACCTTAATGTTGTGTCATGCATATCATAAACAGATTTGGTCATCACAAAAGTCTATTTCAGTTATTGACCAATTATATTCTATATTGAGAAGGTAAAAACCTTTATAGATCATCTTATTTTGTTTGATTTTTTAAGTCAGGGGTTTGGTAACCATGGATATTTTAGAGTTCATTTACTGACATGTTTCGTAAATATTTGGTTGTATCATGTTTCTTTATTGGCAAAATTGTTGTTAAATCGGCTTTAGTGATAAGTGCTGTTTTTACTTATAATACATTCATTGTGACTCTAACGTTTTCATGTTTACCTAATCATTCTTGTGAAAAATACAAGACTGCAGTTTATGTAATAACCTTAACCTTGGGATAGCCATGTTGTTGTCATCTGAAGGTGATGTTGCTGATCATTTGTGCAAATTAATAACAAATTTAAGTAGTTATGAAGAGGACACAAAATTTGAACATTTGAACTATATGTGTGACCTAGACCTTGGGAGAAGCAACCTGAATGTTACTTATAAAAGTTATTATTTAAAAAAAGTTGTTAAAAAGTTAGGGAGCGAAAATTATCATTTGACCTTTACGTAAGACCTTGACCTTAGGTCTACCAACCTGGATCTAACTTGGGTGCAGCAATCTTGATTTTGTGCTCTGCAGATTATAGGAGATATTTGTACCAAGTCATTCAAAAACCTTCAAATTGTCAATAAGTTCAAAGGCAGACATAAAAAATATATCTTTGAACATTGTATCTTTGCAAGTGATCATGACCTCGAGGTAAGTGACCTGATTTTTGTGCTCGACACATGGTGATAATTTCTGTATAGTTATCATAAACATTGCAGCTGTTTAAATGTAATGGCTCGGACATGAACTGTAGACTTTTAATACTTGACCTTCAAGCGTGACCTACAACTTGGGAAAATCAACTAATCGTTGTGCTCTGTACATCGTCTCAAAATGGTGATCACTTGTGCCAAGTTTAAAAGCGAACACGAAAGTGTTACGGATGAACAGGCGGACAGACAGACGGACGGACTGACAGACTGAGGCCATTCCTATAATCGCCTCTCCTCTTTGCTTAAAGGGATTAATTAAGCTGAAAAAACTTTGCCTCCTGAATAAAAATTCTTAAATTTGGGTGATGAACATATTTTTGCAGTTAACATACTTCAATAATTTCAAAATTGAAAGATATGTCTGATAAAGTTGATCAAATCTCTTTCAAAATTGAATTTGAATCTAATTAAAGGTTACTCATGATCTCAATAATAACCCCTATATTTACTAAATTATAGGAAAATAAAGCCTATTGTCTTTTGTATCTGCTTCATCTCTTTTACAAATTTGTTAGTAAGCATTTATACGTACACTTACTAACCTACATTTAACGGTTGTTCATTTGCATTAACGTATAATTTGTATTCACGACAAGTGAGCGAGAAAACCATAATCGCTAAAAAGTATAAGTTAAACAAAAAAGTTCAAAGCGGTATCATACTAAAGATAAAAAACGGTCTTAATCAGTGAAGCAAAATTGATAATTTACAGATAAAAAAATGAATACCTTTCCTGACACAATTCGGAAGATTTGCCCACGTTCCGTTTTCGTTACATCTAAGCACAGTGTATGTTATTCCTAGTACCTGACTTCTATTTAACTCCTTATATCCCTCATCACAACTTATATTCGCCAGTGATGTAAAATTTGTGGTTTGATTGATAAGGCTTCTATCTTTCGCGTTTGATAAATTTAGTTGGTCCAGTCTTCCACAATCTAAGAAAATTGCCAAACACGTGAATAATTAAATAAATACTTAAAAAAATAAAAAGAAAAACATTGTTTATGATCATTTATTGAAGATAGACATATTTAATTATAAAGAAATATAACTTTATATTAAAAAAAAATATTCATGTATGAAGGAAATCGTGCATAAACATTATTGTTTCATACCTTTAGGAACACATTCTGGCACATTGATCCATGTTCCTGTATCAGAACATGTTATGCTTTGGGTTGATATTCCGGCTGTTTGATTTCTTCCTTTAATGTTATATCCGTCATCGCAGTCTATATCAGCTATTGATTCAAATGTTGTATTTGCATGTAGACGTCTGTGAACAGCATAAGTTATCGGGATATCTGTTAGGTTTCCGCAATCTGAATAAAGAAAGATAAACGGAACAAAAATATTCAAATTGTCTTAAATGAATGGCAGAATGACAAGACATTGGTAGTTATCCATCTTTTCCTCGTTACTCACAGATAACACATTCGCCTATTCAGAAAGATAAAAACGCAAAATGGTTAAAGAAAACTCAGAAAGACTGACAAAATCTCTATGCTGATTGGTCTTGATTGAAAATAATGAATGTAGATATACATTGCATTATTGAATCATTTATGTTCGCAGTATGGATAATGCTTTTCATTAAAACGACTGGTAGCTATTGCAACTGCTGATAAAGTAATAGCCATTACTTTGTATTAGTTCAAACAACACAACATCAACACATCTACTTAAATCATGATGATATAATGTCGTAATTGCATAAAGATGTTTCATTCTATCTGCCTTAAGTTCAGATCTACTTATTTGTACATGTATATCTAATAACCATCGTATATGTGCCGCCTTCAATATGATTCTTATTTTTCCGAGAAAGCTAGTTTTCGCCATGCTGTCAAATCGAATTTTACAGATAGGCAATAGACGAAATATCAAAATTTCTTTGTCCGCCATGTTTGTTCTCCAAATCGAGAAAATTACTCTCCCAGTATTTGTTTTCCAGTGGTTAAAATTAGAAACAGCATTGCTTTTAAAATTGTGAATGCTCGCCGATGACTGGCTGTTTGAAAATTCACGAGAAGGTGGCAACCAATCTTCAGATCCTAATGCGTAGCATTTTTAATCAGATTGATGTTTCGTAATGACACTAATTCACTCATATATCTGTAACTGATTAATGTATTAATATGAAAATAGTTTGGTTTCTTACAACATAGTATTATGTTACGTGAGCCGTTTTTAGACGTAAAATACCTAAAAGATAAAAAGATTTTTCAGAAAACAAACAATTAGGTATTTTACCTTTTCTGACACAGTTTGGCACTTTAACCCACGTTCCGTTCTCAGAACATTTGATCAATGTGGATGATAATCCTTTCATCTGGGCTTTATTCTTATCATAGTACCCTGTTATACATGTTACAGCAGCATTGGATCCGTATTTTGTGTCAGTAAATATGAGTCTGTTTGCAGCATTTGATATATTTAACATTTCAAGAGATCCGCAATCTGAAACAATAAGACACAATAATTGTAAAGGACTGGATATCAATTTCGCTTACGGTTTCCGTGTATGTCATGCACAATGGCAGAAAAATTACATTCATTTAGTATCATTTATTTTGCAGAAAAAGTAAATTTGTTGAAAAGTTGAGATATACAATTAGGGATGTTGATTCCTTACCTTACTTGTAGCAGTTGATACTGCAGTTGGTTGATTTTGAGTATATAAACTTTTAAATTCATTTAACCATTACGGTAACCATTCATTAGGAACGCATCTAGTGCTTAATGTTATCAATTAGTAATTTCTTCATTTAAAGTTACGCTTATAAAACAACTAATTGGGACATTCAAAATATGTTCCTTATACATATGTACCTTGTAAGCTCAAAGCGAAATAGTTCCTTGCATCAGGAGTTTTATAGCAAACATATTAACAATTATGTAAAGAACTTAATGTTTACTATCGTTCTCCATTTTTAAGAGTATTTGATTAACAAAAATAAGTCATTTGTTATCCTAGAAATATCATATCCAAAACATTGTTTTATAGCTAAATATCATCACTGGTTGGTTTTCGGATACGAGAGATGATATCACGAGATCGTAGCCCGAGTGATATAATGATGCGCATCCGAACGACAAACTGTGCTTTTATCAAGCGACAAAATCACTGATTTGAATATATTTTTCCGATTCTAACACGACATCACCAATAAATGCTGCCGTATATGATATCAAGCTGAATTGCGTGTACTTATTTTCAGTTCGTCGCATTTTTAATGGTTACGTCACATATCTAAATATAGAAATTCAACTGTGACTTTAGTACATAATAACACACACGTTCGGTCCTTTTATATTCAATAGGGAAAAGTGCAGGTCGTGTTGGAATTCTTATTTAGACACAATTTCTCATAAAATATTTTTTTTTGTTTCTTAACTCTATGTTTTTCGTTTTCATGATAAAGAATAAACAAGATTTTCCATTTTTCTTCCTTTTATATAGAATATTTTCTTTTATATTTTAAGGGTGACTTTTACCAATGAAAAACATAGATTTCTTTTCATTTCAATCAAGCATAATGTGTAGGTTTTAATAGATTTTACTCAAGAAATAGCTTGCGTAATTATGTTAAAAATAAATGATCATAATTATTTTCGTCTAGCAAACTATTTAAGGATAAAAGGAATACTCGTGTTATCTTAAGTATCTTTAAAAAGATAATCGACCGAACTAAAAGTGGCATATCGTATCTTAGGAAAGCTGGATTTCTTCGTTTCATTTTATTTATAACGTCATTTTTTTATATTTCTGTGAATGTCGTTTAGCTCAATGCAAAGCATTTAAGTAATTAAATGTTTAACCAAATCGAAATTTTAATAGAAAGTTTACAAATGACGATACAAAATACCCGAATCAAAGAATTTGCAACTCGTTTGGAAATAATAAAAAACACCTAAAACCAGAAAAGAACCGAATGTCAGCTTTCTAATCTTAAAATACTTTGACGAACATTTATAAATAATATAAGAAAACAAATCATTCAATCGTTTGCGGTTAATATATAATTACATCATTAATATGTAAAATACATGCAAATTATAAACTTTGTATCCATTTCACATAGATAACTGATAATATTGAATATGTTCGTTTTCTTGTGTGTTCTAGCTATTTCATGCACACGAGTAGACGGGATCGTGAACGTCATTCGTCAAAAATCGTCATTTTTGACAAAATTTATATAACATTAAAGTGTGACGAAAATGCTTCATATACTTCATATACTTCAATTGATTACCTCCCCTTGGTATGATTTCGCCATTTGTACAGTAAAACAATTTATTTTTATGTGAAGATAACAGGATAAACAATAGGTAATTAAGGTTATTTAGTAAATATACTTTTGTAACGATATATATTTGAAGAATTGTCAAGTGTGTTTATCATTTGAATTGTTTATCTGTTTGTTTTATGGTTTGTTCGGAAATTTAATCCAAGTTACAGACGCTTATAAGTTTCCATTAAAATCAGTATCAAGAAGCGCTTTATTATTCTAACCAATCAAAATCACTGTTGTATTCACTGCGGGGATGACGCACCGCAGGCATATATAAGGGCGTGCGCAATGTTGAGAATTTAGATTTGGTTTTGGCCCCGGACCGTTAAGTTGTAATTATATTTACTAGTAGCCAGGCATCTTAGATACTGGTGCTAAAAATATCTTTACTTCTTATGATTTAAATAGTTAGTTTGCATGTTGTCCTTGCAAGAGTTGGATATAGGTAATATTGTATTTACTAGTAGCCAGGCATCTTAGATACTGGTGCTAAAAATACCTTATTGCCTAAGTAAAATTTCTTGGACAAGTGTTTGATAGAGAGGAGTTTATTTGAAGACATTATTTGAAGAATCGGTTTTTGAACGTTTTATGATAAGAGTTTGTTGATTTGAAATATAAAAGTTAGAAATAAGAGATAGGTTTAGGAATGTAAATTTTAGTTTGAAAGTAAGAGTAAATAGTGTTTGATTGCTTCTTGAAATATATATTTTGGATGATTTAAGTATTAGTTGAAGATTGTTATTTTTGCATTTCATAATTTCTAGAGTTTTTATTAAGTTAATATATAATCAAAAGGTTAAGAAACCAGAAGGAAAATTTATATAAAATATTTCAAATCTTTTCGGATAAGTATCCCAAGAAAAATTATATATTTGTGTTTGAGAATCTTGTGGTTTAAAATCATTTTATTTTGTAGCACTTGAATGATTAATCAACAGCTCGGTACACGCTACAAAATTGGTGGCAGCGGTGGGATAAGTCTAATTTGATAGATTTCAAAAAGTTTTTTTTTTGGATAAAATAACATTATCACTTACCTGCGTTTGTTGAAATTTTTATTTTGACGTAATTATTTTTAAGAATTATGGCTGAGGCTAGAAATCCTGAAGATTTGTCTGTTTATCTCAAAGAGATAGATATGTTGAGGAAAGAGAAGGAAAGTTTGAGAATGCAAAACGAAATAGAGCTTTTAGAAAAACAATTGCTTAAGTTACAAACTACTTCAAATATTCAGACACCTAGAAATATTAGTCCTAATACATCTTTCCGTTCTCAAACAAAAAGACAATTGCCCCATATCCCTGAAAGAAAAATAATAGAAAAACGAGAGCAGTTGTCAAACACATTTTTGAATTCTGAACCACGTATTAGACTTTCCTATGACTGATAGTAAAACGCAAAGTAATACTTTCAAAAGTGAACAAGAAGACAGAGATTTAAGTCCGGAAATATGGGATAGACATGTGACAAGAAGACGAAAATCCCAAAGAGAAATATACGATGAAAATATGAAATCAGATACTTCCACTAAAATTAATTCAAATAGGTCTTCTGTTTTTATGAAACCAGCTACATTTGATGGCACCGGGTCTTGGATAGATTACCAAGCTCATTTTGAGGCTTGTTCTGAAATTAATAACTGGTCATATAAACAAAAGGGTCTCTATCTTGCTGTATCTTTGAGAGGAAATGCTCAAGGTGTTTTTGGTAATTTAGGAAATTCAAGTAGTTATACAGAATTAGTTAATGCACTTCAAGAGCGATTTGCTCCCCCAAATCAGACAGAACTCTATAGAGTACAATTACGGGAAAGACGCCAGAAAGCAACTGAAACTTTATCAGAAATGGCCCAAGACATAAGACGTTTAACAAATTTGGCATATCCTTCAGCCCCTGGTGATGTTAAAGAAACATTAGCAAAAGAACAATTTATTGACTCAATTTTTAGTTCAGAAATGCGTTTAAGAATAAAACAAGCAAGACCATTAAATCTAAATGACGCTGTTCGACATGCAGTTGAGTTAGAAGCTTTTAATAGGGCTGAACGAAAACATTTTGAAAAACAGGGTAGTTATAGATCTTTAAATTCTAATAAAGTCAAAGAAAGTTCGAAAGAAAACAGTGCTATAGAAATGTTGACTAAAAGCTTTGAAGAATTGAAGAAAAGGTTTGATTCTTTTGAAAAAGAGAGATCAAGTACTGTAGATAGATCAGAGCGAAATAATTTTAACTATAGATATCAAACAAATACGTTCAACCCCAGAGGTTCAACAAGAACTTTTTCAAATACAAATAAGACTGAAACAAGAACAAAGAGTTTCAAATGCTTCAACTGTGGAAAGGAGGGTCATAGTCAATATACTTGTCCAAACAATAACCTCCTCTTTTGGGTACCTCTACGTGGTGAGGAGGAGTAACATATGTCCGTTATGGGGGTGCGCTGCTGTGCGCCTGTATGACGGACATATGGCCAACACCCAGACTGCCTGTTTGCCGTGGGCAGCGTCCCGTAACCTAGAAAAGAGGGTCCTGGTAGTTGAAGGATACCCAGGGATCTCCAGTACTCCTAACACACTGCTTTGGCCTCTGCTTTAGGGTAGACGGGTGACCAAGTGAGCCCGGCTTTGGTCAATCGGCTGGTCATGCCTTGCCCTTGGATATATATTTCTTAAATACTTGAAAATTTCATTGATCTTACACGGTCCCGAAATGAATACAATTCGATGCACACAAATTATTTAAAATAAAAAAAAAATCTGAGTTTAATTTTTATTCCTACTTGTGTTTCTAGTATACCTTTAATTCCTACTGAAACTGCTATGATGGGTGCCGTTATGTTAAAACAATATTTCATATATACATTATAAATAAAGTATAACATATCCAAGAAGGCGGTGGCTAATGGGCTAATTGTGTAAGTTGTAAATATTTGCAATTTATGCGAGTATATCTCTCTGGTATCCTTGATGTGCGGAGACTGGATAGCCGTCTCCATCGAACATCCCCATGTTGGAGTCCGAGGTGGCTGGGGAACCCGGGAGATGAATTTTAATACCTTTAATCATGGATATACAAACAAAAAAACGAAAATCGCAAGAAGATGATTCAAGTGGTAACATTTCATTTGATGGAAGTTTTCCCCGTTTTCTAATAATCAAA